GTAAAATAATTAATTAATTAAGCAGTTAGGAATTAATAGAACTAAATAGTAAATAAATACTACTTTCAATAGAAGTATTTTGGTACACAGTATTATATTTTCATTTTTTTTTTTTTTTTAATTATGAATATTTAATTAAACAATTAACATGAATAAAAATAAACGCTAGAAAACTTACCAAGTACTATTGATATTTTTAGAAGCATAGGTATATGTTATTAATCAGATAATTTCAAAAATTAGAATTATCCACTGAAAGTAAGTGTGTCTTGGATTAAACATTTACAATTGACATTAGTTCAAACACGACGAGAATACTGAGATAGGTTAATCCAGTTAGGGTCCGAACCCCGCAACCTCTTACCTACGAATATTAGTATTATATTATTTTATAAATTATTATGAAAAATATTGAATACATTTCTATTAATGAAAGATAAGAATAATATTAATGACAATTTTCAATGTAAAGACTATAATTGAAAAGAAATCATAGACCTGATATCGAAGATTAAACTATAACCGTCTGTTAATATTAATTTACAAAATATAACTACACACATATAATTTCTTATTATACCGCATTATTTATACAGATGAACTTTTGACATTAAGTGCGCAAACGCTTCGTTTGTTTATTTAATAATACGTACCAAAGATACATCCCACATCCCATCAAAAAATAAAAATTAAGATTTTAAGGACGATGTCATAATACTGACAAAATTATAGTCAATTTAAAAATATGTAAATTATAATTTAAATAATTATACGTAAAATATAATTATATATTATCAATAAGTAAATGCTATTAGAGATATTTTGAAATAAGAATATTAAAATGTTTTCATTATATTATTTAAATGAATTAAATTCAAACACCTCAAAAAAGCTTCAATTTTTCATTAACAAGATTTACAATAAAAATGAAGCCATCATTGTAGTTTTGTATAATATTATATAAATTAATAAACTATAGGAAAAATTTAGTATCATTAAATTATGTACATACAATATGGGTACGTAATTATGTTTTACAAAATCAGGATTAAAATATCCAAATCAATAAAATCAAAAAAAAAAAAACAGTTGAGTATTAAATTTTAGATATTTTGTAGCATATATTATTATACTACAGTTTGTATACAATATGTAAAACTCTAAACGTTTAGTTAATTCAAGAATGTAAAAGTTAATATAAATAATTAACAAAGGTGGATAAGTTTAATAATATAACAAAATACTATATAATATTTACTATATTACCTAATTCTCAGTAATAAATAAAATAAATACTATGAATATTTTTAAATAATTATATTATAAATAATATCTTAACTGATTAAATTTCAATTTAAATCACAATACGATATTTCAAAGTTAAGAATAATAGGTATTATTTCATATTTGTAGAATTTAGTTTGAAGTACCCTCATAACTACTCTATACATATCATTAAGTCCAGAGACGCATTTAAATTTTTAACGTCTAGGGTACTGTTCCTTAAATTTACCGCCCGGAGCCCAAGCTCACTTGCCCCTCCCCCTAAATACGTCTCTGAGTAAGTCCCAGTAAAAATTCAGCAACCTTAAATCAATAATAAATACCTTGATTGATATTGTGTTAGTCATATTATTTTTCTTATCATTTCTTTTTAACTGTTCCATTATCAAAGGAAATTTAAAGATATAAGATAAGTATATTTACGTATTCGATATATGTACATTAACTGTTAATTAAACATTCAACAGTAGGTAACCTGTATTATACTAATAGTTGCACTTGTTTAATATTTTACTGTTATTAAATAAAATATTTTATAACACAAAATAAATTAACTTATTATGTTATTACATACAAAGTAATATTGAATTATAAGTTAACCTAACCTAACCTTATCTATAGGTACTTTTGATAATATTTTATTAAATGTTTATAATTTTATAAAATATTTATAAATTGTCAACTTACACGTGTATAAATATTTAATAAACATACTACATCATACTTCTTTATATATTATAATATTATGCTAATATAGGTATTAAATAGTAGGTAATTAATAATTTAGATATTTTATTTTACTCATTAATAATAATTTTTTATTTGTTTAAAATTTTAACATAATACTTCGACTTTAATTAAAAAATTCTAACTTTGAATCAGGTATTTAAAAACATGTATAATTTATACTTCTTATTGTAGACTCATAACATAAAAGTTGTAACTAAAAGTAGGTACATTTCTATAAATACAATACTACTATAATTAGATATTTAAATTAATAAAAATGGTATAAGTAGAAATAATTAAATTTTGTTTTAAAATTGTGTACAAATAATAGTATAAATATGCAATATTATAACTATGTTTTTTTTTTCATAATAAGTCAGAGATTAAGAAAAAAAATTATGTTTCATTAGAAATTTGGATTATTTATTTTTAATAAATTCTTTAAAATACAAATTCGGAATTCGTATAAATTATCAAATTCAATAAAAGTTGTAAATTTTAATTATTTTTTTATTTTTTGTATTTACATCAATCAAAAAACTTACTGTTCGGTGATAAATGAATTTAACTCAAAAAAAGAAGAAAACGGTTAATATATAGGTATGTCTTAGAGATAATAAACGCATATATATTTAGGCATTCAACAATATAAGTCTGTACTAAAATTGTATTATAGAATTATATTTAACACTACAAAAACATCAGGACATTGCCAATATTTATTATTATTAGTTTTTAGTGATTACTTATAACCATATATAATACCCCTACCATGTATATAATATAGCACGCAATAACACATTTTATACGATTTAGGTCTTTACAATGAATTTTTAGATTGTTGATCAAAACCGAACTAGCCAATTTAAGGAGTTAAAACAAGTTTGAAAAACGAATTAGAAATTTTTAAAATATTCAAAGCGATCCAAATACCTAACCCAAACCTATACCTAATGGTTTATTTAAATTTTATTTTTTTTATTAATTTAAAATATAATTTAATAATGTATACCAAACAATTATACAACAAGCAAATAAATTCATTATTCAAAAGAGAGGAAAAAATTAAAAGACCAAGAGAAGAAAAGCTTTCCAGTAATAGAAACTTTAAGATAGTTCAAATTTATAGTTATATACATTAATTTATAATTGATTTGTTATTTATTTAAATAATTTAATATTAACTTCACAGTCAAATTATGCAGTTAATAAAACAAAACAATAAGTTTAATCTACGTAAATATTACGGAAAATTAAACCCGTCTTACAGATGTATCAACATAGTAAATTTCTATTCAGGATTTCCATTTTTTGTAATTATTTTTAATTTAGAGAAATTGACCAATTATTAAACTTAAAAGTAAGAATATTAAATAATTATCTGTTTTATAACGACAGTTTTTTATCAATGTTTAAATGTTTAAGCGAATTGTAATATATCACAACTTAAAAATGCTCATATCTTAGTTTAAAATTAAAATATCAAACAAAAATCGGGGAAAAAAAGACAGATAATATTTTTACCTGTAAGTTTGATAATTGGTAAAGTCATTTAATTACTAAAATTAGCAATAAACAATTGAAACTACTGAACATAAATTTGCTACATATATTGTACGTTTCTAAGATGGTGACAATACATTTGCAGATATCTTATTATCCTTTTTAATTTTTATGATTTAAATTTTAAATTGTTAAGTTTGAATTTGGTTCGAATTTAAATAAAAAATTGCAAGTCCAATTCTGGTTTGATTTTTCCTAATTAGAGTTTGAAACATCACTATAATCTTAGGCCTAAATAGATACTGGTTTAAAAATGATGATGAAGGTAACTAATCTAATCATTATAAACACTCATCAGTCAGCGTTCTTTACTATTTATAAACACAATATATTATGTTATTATTTATTATTATATACTAAGTACTTTTTTTTTTCATTAAAATATATTTACTATTTATTTTACATTAACATTATAAATAACATAAATAATAAGACTAAGCACAATGATATGAATTATATAAAGAGGAAACAATTCAGTAACAAAATTTGACACTCAATACTCAAAAAAAAAAAAAAATATTGATTGGCGTTGAATAAACATATTAAAAATATTATCACATAGGATGGGTTGAATGGGTACTATAAAAATCTTAAAATATATACCTATTAAGGCGGTATTTTAAAAATATGATACTTAATATTAGGTAAGATCTAGGCACAATGCATTCTCCCACCTCTATCAAGACTTTTGACTAATTTACATATTATAATTTGATTGTATTTTGTTCTGCACATATATAAAATTTCACTTCAACATAATATAAGAATTTTGATTTTTATTACTCATAATATACATTCATTTACACTATTAATTAAATTGGGTGATAATATTTTTATATTTCTTATATATACCTACATTTAAATAGGTAGATAGTAATTTTAAATTCGGAAAATAATAGCCACAACGGTTTTATCAACGGCCTATGAGTATAGCGAATATAAATGGGATACCCGTATATGCAATGAGTCACAGATATGACAGAGTTGTATACCTACCTACCTCACCAGATATCTATTCTAAAAATACCTAACTTTTTTGCACATTGATTTCGTTGTTTGATGGGGTAAAGAGGAATAAAATTTAATAGTTTATTATGTTAATAACTATAAATATAATGCATATAAAGAATAATTTATTTTTGAACAATTAAAAAATTATGTAGGTACAATATATATGAATGGACTATTTATTAGTTGGTATAAGAAAAATATTAAATGAAGAAAGTGAACATAAGTATGGAATGTTTAGCGGCCCCAGGCCCAAAACTGTCTTAATCCAGGCATTGGGACATTTGATAAAATATCCACGAAAATGACAACGTCCAAGTATAAAGGCACTTGCAGATATTAACGAACTATATGTTATTCAGATGTACACGGGGATGTGACACTTAAATAGATAGGTAAATAATATTTTGACTTACCCGATCATATTGATGAGTGAACGGCGCAAAGTGATGATGCGGCGCCCTGGTCGGTGGAGCAGCCGTGCTCGAAGATCTCTGGTACAGATACGGATAATACGCCTGATACATAACCTCTGTGCAGCTCATAGTCCGCACCCGACGCGAGCCCAACACATTTATTTATAATATCGCGAATGGATTAAAAACGGTTTCAACAAGCACGCACAATGACCACTAATACGGTAATACGATAATAAACTTACGAATCAAAAATGAAAAGGAAAAAATTCGAGAACGTTGTATGAATTATATAGGTGTATTAATACGTAGCACAATAAAATTATTCACATACGTCTGCGGGCGCAATTATAGTTCGACGGCGGCAACGGCAATGTGAAATTATACGGTAAACCCGTAATAATCGCTCACGTCAAGTTATCGAAAAGAAAACAGAACAAATAATATTAACGGTGATCGTTTAAAACGATTTCGTAAAACACAAAAAATGTAATAATATAAAATCACAACGACAACACGACATACGATATACGCGGTGCGCAAGTGCGTATGTCTGTACGTGAACACGGGGACTGCGGAATCAGACTACGTTGCGGAGCGTTTCGGTCGCTTCATGCGAAGCCCGCGTACCATTGCCGCCACCGTCGGAAAGGTTTGGTTAACCGGCGCCCCCGGACACGCCTACCACGCCGACCAATCGCTGTCGACGGTCCGTCGGTAGGTTCGTCGGCTGTCGGTGCATCCTGTCGGCAGGATCCGTAGGGGTACGGCAAGGTCGCCGCGCAACCCTCCACCATGTATCCGTGCCACGACGCTACAACGATTGCTGATTAAACATTTTATTATTACATTAAAAATTTAAATATTAAAACATTGAAACCCACCGCGGTATAACGTACTGGAATACATGATTAACATCATTGGATTTCAATCCCCTTCAATAACTAAGTTTCTTGCCGATGATCTGTTTATTCGACACATAAGGAAGTGAGTAATAAAATATTAATAATATATAATATTATTTATAGGTGAGCGTTATGTACAAATTAAATAGACTTAGTAGTTATAGTTCTACGATTAGTTTTACGATTTATAGCGGAAACGTTGCATATTTAAGATTATATAGTGGTTGGTTGTCTATAATAATTTCCATTTTCAGGAACATGATATATTATTATATGATATTGTGTTAATTTGGTTTTATAGCTACGATCATTATTTGTATATTATATAGGTATAGTAATACACCTATTAATTATATTATATATATATAGCATCAGGGATTTTTAACTGAAATTTGAATAACTAGAACCCAAACACACACAAGAACAAAAAACCTTAATATATCTAAACACTCGAAATATACTCGATATACAATACGAATAATTTATTTTAACTTCAAATATTGCTGAGAACATCAAATGCCCTTGAGCTTTATTTAGACAACATACATTATTTTATCATAGGTACATAATGTACTCATATATAAATTTTAAAATAATTATAATTAGGCATACATATTAAACATATTTACATAAACATTTTCAGAAAAATATCCGCTAAATATTGTATAGAAGAAAAGGAGGGTTGTCATTTGAAAAACAAAAGTTTGTATATCACCACAGCCCACAAGACACTAGCTCCTTACGGATGCCACACTCGGATATGTTGTCCCCGTTTTACATACATACAACATAGCGTTCAAAGTTATTTGTGTTCAGTAGAACCCTCTCTGTATGTGTTGTTAGCTTTATTGTTAGAGTAAATTAACGTATTATCAAAGTTAAAGATTAGGATATTATAATATATTAGTATCTAATGTAGTGTTGAATTTTTTCATTATCTCAATTTCTAAGTTAGGTATGAGAATTTTCAATTTATATTATTTTAAATATTTATTCCTTGCTTAAAAATTGAAATATTAAAAAAAAATCCAACCCTTCATCACTGATAATGTCTAAACCTTTAACTTTGATAGTATAGCTATAAATTCATTCTAATATAAAAACTAACAACTCATAATGGGTTCTATTGAACGCAATTTTGCTACATTTTTATTGTATAATAGGTATATAATGTGTGTTCGACAGAGACAACGCAGGTGTGGCGTCTTCTTAAGTATATTGTATATAGTATATCTACAAAAACTCAATATTATTAAAATATAATCTTAAAATATATTAAAAAATTTTATACTTCAAAAATGTCAAGTAGAAATACACTATTTTAAAGCTGTCCAATAAGACAATAAAAACTTTATACATTATACTTTGCAGCAGTAGATATCAGCTGTACCTTCACCCAATCATACAAAATAAAGATGTAAAACTGTACTCATATTCTATGTAGATAATGAAAAAAATAGAACGTCACCAAATAACAAACGGGAGTTGGAACTATGTATAACGATCAACAAAATGCGCAGATTTAAATGTGGCATTCATGTAGATACATGTGTACATTCTAAGTGTAAATTTATCAAGTGTCCATACTCAGATTTTAGATAAAATATTTTATTTGAGCGGAAGCATTTTTAAAAATTTGATAACTTACAATCCACATTTTTTTAATAATTATTAAACAAATATAAAAAAATCCAAAGCTTAGAATTCAAAAAAAAATTGCTAGGTTTAAGGATAAATTATATTCTGAAGTATTTTCGAATTTTTCTATGAACGTTTTCTGATTTTAGTATAATTATATCTTTTACTCGGTAAATATTCATTCGTGCAAATCCTGTTTTCTCGTAATAAAATACGAGTGGATAGCGTACTACCCTTCATAAATTTTTTTAATATTTTCTTGATTTTTTACATGGCCTAGTCAGTATATTTTGACTTGATAAGATATCAGTAAGTATTACAGCCTGTAAGTATTACCTATACGGCTATACATTTATGCTTTGACCAGATTTTTAGATTTACCTATAATCTATATTGAAACTTTGAGCGCTGAAACAAAAATATGCAAGCACAAAATGCACAACATTTATTAGCATGCACCAAAAAGTTTCCTATTTTTACAAATTGAATACTAATGCATGTATCTATATTATATTATGAGTAGCCGTGTACTGTGTAGGTATTTGTTAACAGTTTTCTGCCAATAAAAATCCAAATTTTAACATCAAGGATAGTTCATAAATAATTGATATTTATTAAATGATAGTTAATAAATGATAATTATTTATATAATAATTTATCAAATAGGTACCTACCTACAGGCTATACTCAGACTAAAGTAGTAGTTTATTATGTTTTACTGAATTTCTGTATTATAAAAGCCATGTAATAATTTTTATCCTCTATCGAGTATTTAACGCGATCTAGTGGTATACTTTTCTTGTGTAATAACTTCAATCAACTATTTTTTTTTATATAATAGTTGATAAACTGTATACAATTCTAAATTCTGCCTTAAAAAATTGATTTAATATTTTCTAATTTATTCTGATTTTTAACCTGCTTCGATAAACATTGTTAAAACAATTACCCTAGGTTTTTATTATTATAATTATTATTATGATATAAATATAACAGTTCAAATTACTATTCACAATTAAAGCATCACATACTTCTATATTAGTTAATAGTTTTGTTGAGTTAGTTGTATAAAAATGTTTTAGTATTTAACTTGAGAGAACATTTTTTTTTCACTGCATTAAAAATTTAATTATTATTGAAATTCAAACTTAAATATTTTTAAAAAGTCACAGCAGGGTGCTTGGGAGTTGACAGATTTGGTATGGCCTTTCTTTAATAATTTATCATATTAATAAAAGTATCTATGTTAATGTTTTTATCTTTAGAACAAAGAATTTGGTTTATCAACTCAATTTTCCCTTAGCTCTGGATCATGTACTCATATCTGTATGACTGTATCCATTTGCATCAGTTATAAACCAACTATATGAATTTAATTTAGCCTTTAATTAAATGATAATGTTTATCTTAATGTCAATGTGCCATTCCTTAAATTTATTATTATTGCTGTAAGTGTTTAATACAATAAATGTATCCTAATGTTCTTTAATGGTTCCAAGAACAATGGCTGTGTCAAAATATACACTTGGAGTTTTTAATGTGTTTCAATTTTCTTCCAAACATATTTAAAAATTAATAATATACCTATTATACCTACCAGGCTATCTACTAGTAAATCTATACTAAATAGTACTTTATTATAAAAAATATACCCTTTATGAGTAATAATTACTATTATTTCTTTAAAACTATATAGATATATTAAGATTTTTCACTAGAGTTGTCATTAATTTTATCAAGTACATCTAGGACAAACAGCTAAAATTGTAAATTAAATTGACTAAAAACTATTACCTATTGAATCATATTAAGTTTATATTAAAAAAACAACTAATTATTTTATACACTTAAATCATTCAAAAAATTTATATCGAAAATGTTCCATAGATTATAAAATTTAAATTATAATGTTTTTTTTTTTTTAATTTTGTTAAAGATAATGTAAAAAGAAATTGGTATTATTTATTTGCTTGTACTTAGTAAATAGTAGGTATAGATTCTTTCTATATTTATTTATCATACTTTTTAAGTTTAGTAGATCATTTAATTGATGAAGTAAAGACTATAGATGGATGAGTTTTTACATATTCGTAAAATTCGAAACGAACATTTTTGTAGTTCTTATACATTAAATTCATTAAAATATTTTCCACACCCACAGTATCAAGCTGAAGATGATTTCATTTGTCAGTCCATTGTATTTTTATTAAAGAAAACACACTTAAAAAAAAAAAAAAAACACTAATAATAATAGTCTAATTCTAATAGCTATTAGTGAGTAGCCCGGTCGACTATCGATCAAATATAAAAATAAAACATGAAAACTGTACAATGACAGCGCAGCGCATAATATAAGCTTGTTTGTTTCCCTCTAATTTTCCCAATATTGCCAATAGGCAATAAAGATTATTGTTATTTTATATTTATCTACTACTATAGACTACTATAGATTTAGTATCATTATACTTTCAGACAGACTCTCGATTTGTTAATTACAATTATTATTCGAAAATAAATAATTTTAATTTTTACTAAAAACCTAGACATTAAGTGACCCAAAACTAATTTTCGGGACACCAGTATACCAAAATTACCAAATAAAAAACCGGTGACAATTAAAACTTTTTGAGACGTATAGTTAAGCAATGTGAAAACAGTTCGGCCCTCATGTAGTGATTTTCAATGAAAAAAAAAAAAAAAGACGTATGGCAACCATATTTTTAACCTAATTAGTAGTTTATTATAAAGAAATCTGAAATAGAGAAATGAATAGAAATTACAAATCTTAGTAGATATTAAATTCTTACTACCTACTTTATTTCATTAAATCATCAGTAATTTTTTTCTGGTAACATTTTTAAATACTTACTCTTGGAACTTTCAGCTGTAAAACATGGCAATAAATAACTAAATTAATGAAGCAATAAAAAATACAAGTTTATTATACTGTGTTGTAATTTATAGATTTAAATATAGGTTGAATATATTATAAATTATGTATTCTGGTAAAAACATAGTTCACAGAAAAAATGCAATACATTTTATTGTAAAACCAGTAACCACTAACTCCCTAGCTCCGCTCAGAATCTAATAAAATAATGATTATTAAATAATAATTAATTATCAATACGGATAACAGATCAAAATTTTTAGCTTGAAACACGTTTTACAATTTTAATTCATCGCGGGTTTTACATTTTTAAACCAAAGATAATATAAGTATTATAATATATACATAAAAAGTATCATATTATAATTAATATATTAATTCTAAAGCAAGATAAATTGTAAAAATTAAATTATAATAATTAAAAAATATAAATTTAAATTGATTGGCAATTACAAAACTTTTATGCATATTGCATAATAGTATAAACCAGGAGTGACCAACATGGCAACATGGATAGGTGCACGGGTCACATATATAAATACAATGATACCAAGAGCCAAAATGTTTATACACATTTTAATCATCATTTTATATAATTTAAAAATAATAATTTTTTATTAGCTAATACCTAAAAAATTAAAATTTATAACAATATCCAGTTAATTTTGTTTTTATAAATAAGATGACGCAAGCCGCATCTAACAATGATGAGAGCATTGAGAGCCACATTTAGCTCGCGAGCCGCAAGTTGGCCACCTATGGTATAGACCAGGGGTCTTCAAACTTTTTTTATCCGAGGGCCACATAAAATAAAAAAATCTCTTAGCGGGCCAAAATGTATGAATACATTTAATTTTCATATATAATTTATAAATTACAGCTAATACAGCTGATAATAATTGCTCATGCGCGCGATAACGACTATGAAAACTAGGTATATATATTTTTAGAATATTTTCCGTTATTTGGCGGGCCGGTGAAAACTTATTCGGGGGCCGCATCCGGCCCGCGGGCCGTAGTTTGGAGACCCCTGGTATAGACCACAGAAAAGAGATTATAGACCATAGAACTACACCAGTTACCAGTGCAGTGCACATCTCATACATACAACATACCATAGTAAATGTTTAGAATCTCTTTGAAATTTAACAGCCGATTGTACACTATCATTATTTGTTATCTTTATATTCATAAATTATTATAGAGTGCAGTTAAAGAGACTAAACGATAGAGGTCATTTTCTAATTTTCGTAAGCTATTACTGTTTACCTCATTATTTTGGATTTCTTCTTTTATAAAATCTCCCGTTCGACTGTAAGTAGTATTATTTTAGATCGTAACAATAAATCGATAAAAATAAATATTGTGTTTTCATTTTAGAAATAATGGCTTTATTTTTGCGATCCACAAAATTAGCCGCTAGGCTCACACAAGGACCAACTAAATGCTTTTCAAGGAATTACGCTGATCAAATGAACTTCACATTTGCTGCCGCCAATCAAGTATGTATAATAGTAATCTAGTAAAAGAAAGACTTTAAATATCTAATGAATATTGAAATGTGTATTTGTTTGTTGTTTATCGTGATTGTTTGATAAGGGTTCATATATTTTTACAATTAATAAGTACCTAAAAGTTTTATTCAATTTTTTTAGATTTTCTATAATAACAAAAATATCAAACAAGTTGATGTACCATCTTTTAGTGGTTCATTCGGTATCTTACCTAATCATGTTCCCACATTGGCAGTTCTCCGCCCTGGTGTTGTAACGGTATACGAAGATGAAGGAACATCTAAAAAAATATTTGTTTCTAGTGGAACGGTACTATACTTTTGTTTAATGTCTAACCTTATACTTATGTAATAAGTAAATTTTGTTATTTTTAGATAACTGTAAATGAAGATTCTAGTGTTCAAGTTTTGGCTGAAGAAGCTCACCCAGTTGAAGATCTTGATGGATCAGCTGCGCGTCAAGTATTACAAGAAGCTCAAAGTCAAATGGCAACTGCATCTGGTGATGTTGCCAAAGCAGAAGCTGCCATTGCCGTTGAAGTAGCTGAAGCACTTGTTTTAGCAGCAGGAAACTAATACTGAATGTAAACTATGTATTATATTAGTGTGGAAATTTATTTAAAAATTTTCTCATATACAATTAGGTTTAAAAATTAAATTGAATTTCTACATATTCCGTTTCATTTGTTGATTTTGAAGTTGAAAATTTTAAATTATAATTATTCTCGATCAATATCCAATAAAAAATTCCATAATTATTGTGAGTTTTAGTTTTTACTGTTTTTAATTTTAGCTAACAATATTTTAATTTAATGATATTCCATTAAGTATTATCAAACATACAATATTCTGCTTACTTACAATATGTTGAAAATATTGTTTTTATATTTTAATTAAATGGTAAAAATCTTTGATTTACTTTGCAAATATAATTTTTAATCTATAGTAGGTGTTTAAAATATTAAAATATGTGTAGTAACACTAAATTACTGATGCTACGCTTATAAAGGTTTAATAGTAGTCCTAATCATTTAAGTCAACTATTGAAATAAATAATTTTTATTTCAATAGGTATTGTAAATAGTATCACAGTATTAAGTTTTTTTTCTAAATTTATTTATTTAAAATTTACAATCTATATAATAAATGGTACAATAAGTAAATAAGTAATAATAAATGAGTCGATGACTCATTATAAAAAACTCCTGGACATAGGTTTTAATTTTAGAGAGAAATAAAACTATACACGTTAAATATGATGCATATTGAGAAAATCTCTAGACCATTTGCGTTTGACTGGGTTATCTGAAAGAGTATTGGAATGAAGTTGAATGATGAGGATTTTTGAATGGTGTTCCATATCAGAATGTAGGTGAAAGTAATATGTGGTAGCTGTTTGCCTTATGGTGGAGATTTGAAGATCATTATGCAGTGCAATATTTGTGATGTACCAAGGGGCTTAATCAATCTTGCGGAAGTATAGTATCTCTGTAATAAGTTCAGTTTACCCAGTTTTGTAGATATATAGAATAAAATAGAGTACAACTTACAAATATATCTTTTGATTTTCCAAATGGCAAATATGGATAATGATCATTTTATTTTGCCTACTTACAAATGCTATTGTTAATCATTAAAAATCTTAGTTATTATTAAATTGTAATTTATAATTATGACTTAGGTGAATAAACATTTTAATAATAGGTGTATCTGATATGACATGACCAAAATTATTGAATTTTACGCTACATAACATTGTTGTTACTTAACATGTCAACGCTTACTAAGTTTATCTATGAAAAATTATAATCTTACCTACTAAATAAATTACTAATTTGAGTTATTTTGTTTAACAAAGTAAATTTAATATGATGTATCATTAATTCCCATTTTTAATGTAATTAATGAAATTTGTAATTAATTATGATAACAAAATTTGTATTTACAATAGTTACTAAACATTTTTATGCCATAATGTGTAGTTTAATATTCCAATTTAAGGAAATCTATTATACTATACTCGCATTAAGTTAAACTATTGTAAAAACTGAATGACATAGGTAGTTTATAAAATATTGAAAATTGATATAATACATACAATGTGTTAACTATGCACATTGCACAGATTCATCATTTGTAAACATTAAAAAAATAATAATTTTATTCAGTCACACATTTACACCACAGAAATTTGTGTATCATAGAAACAATGTAAGTTTAGAACTCTATATGTACCTTCCTAAGGCCAATTCATATTTTTTTTTAAATTTGATATATAGTCGAGTTTTCTTCATTAGACCTCTCAGTTTAATCCCCATTTATAACTGAATGTGTATAAACAGTTTTTTATTGCTTTCCTTAAATCACCTTTCATTGACATACATTGCTTCTCAAATAAGTGGCTTAATTAGGAGTACCTAGTGGTAAGTAACTACTAACTAATAAATACATTAAAATATTAACTTCAAATGGAATGTAGATCTATCGGTTGTACAACTGTAGAGTCTGTAGACTAGACAGAATTGAATACAATTATTAATATCTCCACTAGAGCGCTCTGTCAACACTTGAAAGGACAAATTTCAATCACTGTAAGAAACAATATTGTATACAAATATGAAGTATGAACATTAAAACAATTAAAACTATAAAAATAAATTATTGAGTACCTAGTTACAAAATATAATTATTTATTATTATTTGTTAATAAATAATTAAAAAACAGGAATGGTTTATTTACAAATCAATTATTTTTTTATAAAAGTTAATCTGTCTATGGGTGTGGGCACACCCATATAAGCCACACGGCTTATATTATAAATTATATTTATTCAAAAACTACAGAATCGAATTTGACAAAAATTTTAAAGATTCCAGAAAGGTTTTTAAGATATAAGTTAACTACCTAATTCAATAACCATTATCCAAGTCTGATAAGTGACGCTAAAAATATTTTTTTATATAATATACTAGCACCGGTGAAACTCGCTGTAAGTGAATACCCTAGGTCGGTGAAACTCGCTGTAAGTGAATACCCTAGGTCGGTGAAACTTGCTATATGTGAATACCCTAGGTCGGTAAAACTCGCTGTATGTGAGTACCCTAGGTCGGTAAAACTCGCTGTATGTGAGTACCCTAGGTCGGTAAAACTCGCTGTATGTGAGTACCCTAGGTAGCTGAATATCGTTTGAAGTGAATTTCCTAGGTCGGAGACAGGACTTAAGAATACAGCAGTTAGAAAAGTCTAGTAGGCAAAACCAGTGATAACGACGAATGAGATGTTGGTACCTCTGATTTGGTGGCTCTACACTTTGGCGGTGTCGTTTTAAACGCGTAAATAATAAGTCTAATTTGAGCATCTAGTGGTCGGTCATTTCATTAAATTCACAGGAGTAATACACCTTGTCCCGTAGCTTGCCCTGTGCTTTTGTGCATGGAAAATAAATAAATACATTCCGAAAAATTAATTAAGTGTCTAGTTATCAGTCATCGTCCAGTGAATATCGATTCCTGACAGGGCAATCCGCCTGTGGCGGATTGTCATACCTCCTGACGTCGAAGGCGTTGTGCTGTTTAGTACGCAAAAAAGTTTAAGTCGAATCGAGCGCTCGATTTCTCAAGCGATCACCACTGAAAATCCAGTTAAACGCGTTTGAACCTCCCAGGTAGGCGATCCGACTGCGTCGAATCGCGGACGATGTGAGCACAAAGTAGAAATTTTAAACGTATTAATGAAAATACATATCAAACGTTAGCGAGTTGTGGTAAATAGTAAGTCGAAGATCAAGAAACTATATATATTTAATCATTTTTTTGATAACAGAAATTACAATTAATTAACACAAAATTTAAAAATTTAAAAAAAAATCAGAATACTTAGTCAGTTATCGTACAGAACGGATTTCGCGGGAACGTGTTTCGAACCTGCCTACCTAACGTCGGAGAACCTCGTCCCGTAGCTCGTTACGAAAACGGCAATCGAGTGTCTAGGTATCAGTCATCGCCCGTACGGTGAAAGTCGATACCTGCTGAAAGGGCAATCCGATTTCGACGGAATGGATGAATTTCCCGTGGCTCGCCCGATGCTTTTGAGTATGGAAAATAAATAAATACACTCCGAAAGGGTTATTAAGTGTCCAGTTATCAGTCATCGCCCATCGAATATCGATACCTGACAGGGCAATCTGGCTGCGGCGGATTGTCATACCTCCTGACGTCGAAACCGTTGTGCTGTTTAGTACGCAAAAAAGTTTAAGTCGAATCGAGCGCTCGATTTTTCAAGCGATCACCACTGAAAATCCAATTAAACGCGTTTGAACCTCCCAGGTAGGCGATCCGACTGCGTCGGATCGCGGACGACGTGGGCGTAAAGGAGAGATGTTAAACGCATTATAGAAAACGCATGTCAAACGTTAGCTAGTTGAAAATCAAAAAAACTATATATAATTAATATTTTTTTTCATATTTTATAGATGGTTAGATATCGAAAAGAAATAATATGCGCTTTCTGTGATGACAAAATATTTAAAAATCAAAAGAAAAAAAATTTTTAAAATATATTTAATAAGTATTCAAATGTTGATTAGGTTAATAGCTATTAATACTTCGATTACGATATAAAAAAATAAAACATACATAGAATGTTGAATACATTTTTTTTGGATTCTGAGCTGAATGAAAACTGGTTTTAAATTAAAATCCCCGAATTCCTTGCTATTTATTTCTTGTTTATTTTGAAAAGTACTAAAAATTTTCACGCTTAGCTCTCAAAAGTACTAACTAAGTAGTTCAGTTTCAGTAGGTATTCAATAAAAAAAAAAAAAAACTCATCATTAAGAAATCAATAAATTCTTAGCTAAGAATCTAAAATTATAATTATATAATTTTTAAATTAATAATGTATTTTTAAATATTATATAATGTAGGCATGTATAAGTGATAAAATGATAACTTTTTAAGTAGGTATAACTTTAACCTGGAGGTATTATTTTGATGGAAATTGACCAACATTAGTTGAATTATTAAAATATAATAGTTTGTTCATTTTGATTGTTAAGTATGATAGTGTTGGTTGACGCAGTGACTCTCTTGAGAGTTAAGGCGATTCATTATTAAATATTAAAAAACCATAATAACTTTTTAAGTAGGTATATCATTTTTTTCATGAGAAATAAAAAAGTAAACGAACTAATATGAACGTAAAAACGTTAACATTTAACTAAATAATAATGATAATTGATAGTTAATAGAATTTGTCAATTTTAAACTACAATGGTAAAATGTTTCCACAGTTCAAAGTTATATTTTCTTCACTCCAGTATAATCTAAAAATATTGAAACACGCGAAATTAACGATGATGCCCATTATTAAAGTATCCTATTAATCGGAGGTCATACATTATACATCATTTTCATTATGAATAGCAAGTTTTGAGCAAGGCTTTTCGACGGAAATAAGCCACGAGTAATTATAATACTCTAGGCTGTTTTGGACAATATTTTCATAGGTGTTCGCCTGACTAAATCTATTTATAAAAAAAAGACCAAGAATTAATTTCAATTAAAACGTAGCTTAATCGAGAGTTCATATATCATATTCACATTATCGCGAAACAAGTATCATTACAAGTAGTATAAGGCACTATTAAATCGCTTGAAGGATTGAACCTACAAAAATCTACTGTAGAAATTAACGTTCCGACTATGTTAGGTTTAATTCGACATTTAATTACTCCTGTTTGAATGTTTTATTCATTAGTATTTATTGCTAAAGTCTTTAAATCTAGATTATAGTATTTTATTTATTTTTTATTATCACAATGCCATTTTAAATTATATTTATAATATCTTGAATAAGCAAAATTAGTAATTAGTATAAATAACATTGAATTTCAATTTCAAGATTGATATTTCTGTTAAATGATGTTCAAATAATATTAGTTTAAATTTTGAACAAGATTTTTTTGATGTAATTTTTTCTTCTATAATCTTCAAACAAAACGTGAATATCTATCGCTCTGCTGACTTTAGATGTCGAGTGAGTCATTATAATAAATTAATGAGTGTGTTAAATTTGAGTTCAACACTATTTCAAATTTTCAATCATCATTATATTCGTAAAAAATTCTAAGTGAAGATTCTATGTAAGCTAGTATCACTTAGTAATTAGTATTAGTACATTTCATAATATATTTTTTGATATTAATAGCAATTTATTTTATTATTAGTTTTATAATATAGGTTGATTTAATTCTTTCCAAAAAACATTTAATTTATTATTTTATTAGTATTTAATTATTACAACAGCTTGCTTATATAATATTATTATTAATAATTACTAACTTTTAATAGTTAATAATATCTTACTGTAATATGCAAACATATAAACGATATTTTAAGCTACAGGTCTTAGGAATAATCTGCTTCTGAATTAATTATGACTTTGTTTTGAACATTATACCGAGACATAAAGTTTTTATTAAAGTGTTATATTTTTTTTTAAATTCTTCCATATTAAATTAAAATTATCGTGAAATATCTAATTTAATTAGCAATATTTTTTTATGTAATTATTCTATTTTTACGCTATCATATGAGTTTTATTGATATATTTAATTTAGATCACTCTGTATATATTTACATTAAATTATAAGTATGTATTTATGTAGGCTCCAATATTTAGTACTTGATATATCATCAACTACTGATATTCGATGCATAATAAATTAAATTACCTACAATTATTTAGTTGAAATATGTTCTGCTAAACTAAAAATCAAAATTATAATTTAAATTAAATTAATTTTCATCATACTTGGTTAGATTCCATAATAGTAATTAAAATTTGTCATCGAAAAATATCCAACTGAATCAATTTTTGCTTTATTGAATTAGTTGCTTAACAAAGTATAATTTGATAATGACTTGTTTTATTCAACATCAATAATGGTACTAAACTATTTTCTTTTTAGTCACATTTATTCATTAAAATAGTAAATTAATTGGTAATTAGCATTGTATTTTGTATTATATCTACATAGTGTTGGTAATTTTTTTAATAAAAAAACATAAATTTATTATCATAATATTACATTTAAAATTAAAAATGTTTAAGACAATATAATTATGTAATCATATAGTTAAACTTAAAAATAATCAAAAACTATCAAAACACTTTACAACTGAGTCAATTATTTTAATAGTAGGGAACGAGTGCTGCAATGACTTAACAGTTCAAATTTATGAAAAAGGCAGTTTTTATAGCCTTCCTTCATATATTTATCATTATTATTATTATCAATAATTTACCATGTGTTAGCTAAACTACAATACCTAATAAATATGCTAAAAAAAATTATCGTGATAAAAAATAAAAAAGTATATAATTAAAATATTTTATAGTTGATAAAGTCTCTCTCTCTCTATATATATATAAGATATTATATATGATATAGGTATTACTTATATTTATAAGTAAAAATTGTAATCAATGTTATTATACTATTGACACAATGTTTATCTAGCATAAAATTAGAAATTATCTTCATAAATTTGATTATATAAGCAAATATAAATAAATCAATTTTTTAAATGACCACTAAATATTTTTATGCATACTTACCTGTGACGTCATATATTGTCAAATTACCATCGTTAAGACTTAAAACGAATGGATTAATAACCACTCAACATTTTTATGTTGTCGTCACTTAATTTTAATGTTGTTACATGTCACTGACAAATTTTTAATTACGTTTGAATAAGTTTCTTATGTACCTACAAGTCTTTAAACGAAGGTGAATTTTAAATAAAATCTATATTAGATTGTCTAAATGATTGATAATATAATGCTAATTCAAAAAAAAAAAAACATTTTAAATTTCTGTGTAAAAAAAAAAAATTCAAAATGTTTGTCTGAATAAAATTAATTTTAATTAGTAATTTAAGCAACACATTTTGAAAAAACGTTATTGAAATAATACATTTTAAGAATTATAAGAACATTTTGTAATCTATGTTAAAGAAAATGTCTACTGGAAAGTTAAATACTTCTTTTCAAACGGTTTTTGTTTTCTCTGGTAGACTAATACAAATTATCGTAGATACTTAAGATTTTTATCACATTTTTAGCTTATCACTGTTTACACATGGTATAAATTTTTAAAATTTTGATACTTCTAAACTAATTATAGGTATCACAACAAATGTTCGCTTTTTTTTTCTTATTAATGTCAATAAAACATGATTCTGACATGGGGTGTAGCTAAATTATCAAATTTAAATAAAATACAAAAGCCCCATCGATCATTTTATGCATAATAACAAGAACCTTCTGTGTATAGTGTATGTTTTCACTTCATACAAATCTATAATTCAAAATTGTCCCGTATCAGTCGTATCTGAAATGTGCTAAATTATACACAAAAGTTTTTAGTTCACTTCTAAAAAAAAACATCCAAATCCTTTAATTTCCACACTTAACTCTTACTTAATACTTAGAAATCTCCAAGGAAACTTAAAAGAAGATAGAATTGTAACTTTAACTATTAAATTTTGTAACTAAAAAAAAAATATTTATTCAATTAATTAAAAAATCAGTTATAAAGTGTAACCATTGGATTTTGTAACTCATATCATTATATTTTGGTGTATATTATTTTTGTTAATAAACTTTTACAGATTGTATATTAACTAACAAAAAATAAAATAAAATACATATTAAAATGTTTTTCTTAAAAATTTAAAGTACATTATTTATAAAACAATTAACATAATATTAATAATATTTATAATAATATTTACATAATATTCAGGTTTTCTCGAAAAAGTGCAATATTTTATATTATATATATCTAGAAACAAATTATTTAGAACTATTACTTAGGTATGATGTTTCATACATTAAAAAGTATACCTTGTTTAATCGTATTATAATTTATAAAATATAATGTAGCTATCAAAATATATTGTATAACTATAAATCATTTTTGCTCAAATAATATATGTATATAAGTACATTTTTGATTTTTTTAAATCTATATAAATTTAAAAAAAATAGTAATATTCGTGAAAATCAAAACATGTTATGAGTTCATTTTTTTATAGACACACTTTTTTTTTTTTTTTGTATATATAATAATTAAAATCATTACGCACGTGTCTTTTACGTTTTAACCATTAATGGTCACTGATAATTAACTAATAAATATGCATATAATCACGCGTGGATAACATAATATGATGACCCAATCAAAATAACCTGAATTTATGGTTAGCACATATATATCGTTTGTATATCTATGTACATTGTACAATGATCTCGTTATGGATTGTGGTTAAATAGAGTTTTCTGGTACCGGTTTTTCATAATGATGAACATACTTACACACGTACACTGAGACCAGTGACATAATTAATATAAAGCCACTCACGCTTGCACTCGCTACAAAGAAAGTAGTTGTGTGAGCATACCAGAAGTCTTATTTGAATTTCGTACTTGATAACAGCAACAACTCAAAACACAACGTTCAATTTTCTCGAAAAGAAATTATAAGAATAATAATATTAAATAAAAATTTATATAGTATTATATATTATTTAGTGTCTATTTTAAATTAAACATGCGTGGAAATTATTCTCTGATGGTTTTTCTATTTTTTGGATTTGGATTACAAGAAATTTATTGTCAAAAACAAGAAGTAAGTATTTTCATAATTATTTACTATGCTTGTATCACCATTAAAAATGTTCTCATTAATCAAAATATATTTATTTGTGCAAAGCTATCAGGAAAATGTAGAGCTCCTGATAAAGCACCTTTGAATCTTGAAATAATAATTAATATTTGTCAAGAAGAAATCAAATCCGCATTGCTTCAAGGTATTGTTGAAAAAATTATGTTCTTTAATTCAATTGGTTTTAATAAATAAATAAAATTAATTTACAGAAGCTTTAGATATCCTTAATGATGGCACTTTGGAACAAAATACACCAAGTTATAGTAGACCGAAAAGGGACGCTGATGAAGATTTATCAAATGAGGAACGTAGAGTTGCGGGGGTAAGATATCATATTTTTTCAATTAAATTTTAATATCAACTATAACACTCCAAAAAATTACTGTTAATAAATAGTATAAATCTCACGCATGAAAATATATTATTACTTAATTCATTTGTATCATAAGATACATATATTGTGCATCTAATTATTAATGAATACTTGTTTTTTACAATAATGAATAATTTTTTAATACTTCAAACAAATTATAAATTATTAGTAAAACAATTTTTATTTAAAAAAACAGTTCTGAAATATCTTCAGACTATATTATGTATACATATAATATGCATACATAATATGAATATTATTTTTTACTAAGAAAAATGTTTATGCAATCTGTATATAGATATATTAAATAAAATAATGCATTTAAAATACGTGAAAAGACGGCTTTATTAAAAAAACGTTTATAAATAATAGACACAATATCAAAAAAATATATTTTTAATAATGTTTATACTTTTGAGATATTAAGTTCTAACTGTTAAAATTTCATCTAGTATTATACTATTTTTCATATTGTTAATTTTGTTTTTTTTTAATATAATCACAAGTGAATTTTTTTTATGCTATTAAAATAATGATTACAATAATTAACATTTATACTAAATAGACAGCTGTCTCAGGATAAAATTTAAAAAATTCGTGAAGTTTCAGTTATCTTTAAATTGATAAATATCATACTAAGAACGGAGGTTTACCCAAATATTTTCTTTACGTATTTTATTTTATTAAAATTTCTCAAAAACTATTAGGAATGTCACGATCTGAAAGTTACATACTTGTAGATACAAACTGTGTTCAATTTAAATCTTGATTATTGTAAATTTAAGAGATACGCTGTAAAACATTTTGAGCTTTTTTATTTTCTAACACAATATTAATCTATAAAAAAGAAAATGTATAACAATAATATATTATATTAACTAATTATTATCAATGATTGGTTTTAAATTTTAACGTATTCTGTATTAAACATTTTACTATATATAAATAATAATATTCAGCTTTTATGTTTTATTAATTATAATTTTATTTAAGATAGTTTTATTATTAAAACAACTAAAAAAACCTTTAAATATTGCAGTACATCACAGCCGTAAATACCTAAATGTTAAATATAGTTTAGTTGTAAAAATTAAGTTTCGAAATTCATCATATTACACAATAGTATAGAATCGGAAGTTAATTGCACCCATTAAATAATATGTTGTATATAATTTTATAAGTATTATAATAAAAGTCGTTTTATACCTGTCCGTAGTAGCTACTATAGTCAACCTAATCTGAAAAGTGAATGAGCTGTTAAAAAAAAAAACATTCACTTGTTGCATAACTGAAACCTGTTCTTAATGGTCTTGGTCATTCAATAATAAAACAAAATATATTTCATTACATATTTCTGCACATAAACGTATACAATGTATTACGATTCTTCTATATTAATAATTATTGTTTTCAGTGTTTGCTCCAGTGCGTCTACAAGAAAGTGAAAGCAGTTGAGTATAATATTTTTGTATAGTAACTATGCCTATATTTGTTGCGTTCATCTTATTCTGAAGCAGATGAATCGTCTGATTGTTATGCTATATACGATATAATTAATTTAGGTTGATGAAACCGGCTTTCCGGTAGTTGATGGTTTGATGAAACTGTATAACGAAGGAGTCCAGGACCGAAACTACTACATGGCTACATTATCCGCAGTTAGGCATTGTATTTCTATTGCACAGCAGCTAAAACAGCTACAACCCTCCAAAAATTTTGGTAAGAAACATTTACGAAACATAATCAATACTATTTACCAATATTAGTATTATTCATTGTATCGCCATGTATAATTATTCTAATTAACAGTCGCAATGAGTTGTGTTAATAACATACGCGTGATATTGATAAAATACAATTTTATTAATTTAAAACGAGATAAATAATGGTTTAAGCATGAAGTTGTATCCAGTTTCCAAACTAGAAATAAATAGAACATTCAATTTTTAAAACAAATTTTACAAGTACGATAAAAAAAAATATTGAAACATAGTATAATAAAATTCATTTTTTTTATAAATAATAGTAAAAAAATCTACGTAGGTAGGTACTAGGTACCTATTAAAATAGTCCTAATAATATACAGTTATTAAATATTATGTATTACAGTCTAACAGATATTAAATTTTCTTTTACAAATCAAATGCCTATTATAAACATGAACCGCAGTTAAATTTTAAGGCAATAAAAATAAAATTATATATTCTAATATATTCAGAACACGGATTTCTTATGCAATCCGTATTTTTTTTCTTTTTCACTTTTTTGGATTTTTATAATTATCTTCACGAATCATAATAATTTGAATCCAATAGTGAAATTTTTATTTGTATATTTAATAGTTATTGCATATTTTTGCATATTTTTACGAAATTTAAAACGTGTTACATATTAAAGTGAAAATTTTTCATTGCGTAAGTATTTAAGTAATTAATTATTATAAGCTGTTTAATTTGTGAATTTTAAATAAATAAAAAAAAATGTTTGAGTATCTATTGCACATTTCGATACTTTTTAATACATAAAAATCCGTGTTCTTTTTAATGATTCATATTATCTCATTGATTGAGTATTTAAATTATAAAAATGTAGTATATATTAATTTATTATGAATGTAAAACCAGAGAAAGTAATAGTAATTTTTAAAGGTAATGCTACTTGTTACAAAATAATTTCTCATTGCAATATTAATTTCACGTTTTTTAATTTCAAATTATGATTTGTTTAAAAAAATGTTAACGATTTTAAACACACAAATAGATGATGTTTTTTTTTTTTTTTATTACCTTTTACATTATTTTTAAAATACAGTGAAGTGTTGGAAATAATAAAATCAAATATTTAAACTAGGTAACAGAAATTTCAGTCTAACACATATTTTAAATATTAATAAAAATAACACTTAAACAGTGTGAAATAACTTGAGTATTATTATTATATTTTTAAATTTTAGATGATGGACAAACATGTGATCTTGCTTATGAAATGTTTGAATGTGTCAGTGAAAAAATTGAAGAAGTACGTAGTAAAAAAAAAAAAAAATCTTATACTATATTAATCAATAAACTTTGTTCATTATTATTATTTCAGAACTGTGGAGTCCAAAATAAGTTGAATGATTTAAGTCAACGTCAAGTTTAAAAAATTTTCCTTGATTGTATTTTATATATACCAACATTGTACATAATCACTTAACTTTAAATTGTAATTAATATAATCTTATTTTATTTAAATTCAAATTAATTTTCGTAGCTATATTAATTACCAAAAAATAAATCTTAGTGAAATTGTTAGTTAAACTTATTTTGATAAAACAGAATACCTATTAAATTTATTATTATTACTTACCTTATCTTATAATATATAAAAAATCGTATATTTAGATATAAGTTCAAACATTAATTTTATTTGTTATTAAGTTATTTTCATTATTATCCTCAAGGTCATTTATCTTATTATTTTATTTTATTTTGTGATTAGAATATATCTATTAAATATTTGTTCATAAACCAATAACCTCACGATTTTAATTAAATTTATTTACAGTCCAATACTCATATTGATTATAATATGATACATTAATACCTGTTTAAACTTAAACTACAATAAATTAGTCTTATCGTGTGTTTGGTGTTCACATTGGTTCTGACAGTCTTTCTGATTAAAATAAATAAATTTTTAAATTATAATTGGTCTAATAGTTAATAATATGTTTAAAGAAATATGCTAATTTTGTTGTAGGATAGTTGGATGTAATGGTAATGCGCGGTTAACTGTTATTCAAATCTATTGTTACACACAAGGTGATTTAATACGTATAATACGTATTTAATTATTTTATTTGATGAAAAAATCTTAGTGTCTATATTATTCAATTATGAAATAATATAAATGCTAAATAAATTATCTTGTTTACATACCTATTAAATGTAAATTGGGAAATAACAAAAAAATTCAATACACTAATATTTATATTAACTGTATAGGAATTAAAAGGTAAGCATTAAAAAATGAAGATGAATCATTAAACTTTTTAATTTGATGTAATTAAATTTACGTTTATTAACAAACTGTGTTTACTTTACTATTTGAACAATAGTAAAACTATTAACTATAGTCGATAACTATACTATAATATTCATTGGTATGCACATGTATACTTGTAACAAATGTTAGAATTTAGGTTTTCCATCAAAACATAAAATAATTATGTTTTTATCTACAAGAAAAGCATTATTTTCTATTTGTATAATAAAAAAAAAATAATACAACTGTTTTAAAGCATGGAAAAGAAATAATTATAGTAGTAGTGTACACAAACTTATAGAAAAGATGATTAATAACGATTAAAGGTATTTTAAATCGTGTGATTAATCAATTCACCACTAAGAAACTATTTTTGTATTTATTTGGTTAAATTTTAATATTTGTTTTTAATTCCTAAAATAGGCGCACACCTATGATGGTACTATGACACTATATTACATATATAAATAAACAAATCAATGTTGCTCAAATAATTATAGTATAGTTGGCCCATCACTTTATAATATCGTTATATCGATAAATAATATTATACGTATACATTTATTTAATCTAGTAGATAAGGCTTTTGCCCTAGAATTCTAGAATACTACTAAAAAATACTTTTCTAATAATCACTTCATGATTGATTACAATCAAACTTTATTTGGTAAATCAGTTGTAACTTTGTTACCTGACTGAGTAACTTTATACTGCTTGGTTCAACAATTATCTGTACCATTTAAGAAACATGGCACTGAATAGTTTAATAAACGTACTAAACGTTTTACAAATACCTTTTAAAGATTGATTAATTATATACTTTAGACTACTCACTAAACTTAAAATATCTTATAGAGAAGTATTAATATTGTGGTAGAATTTCTATTTTAAACGAACTCTTAAATTTAAAAATACAGTAAGCGCATTATGTCTAAAAATTAACATAGTTAAATTCGTCGATCTTGATTTAGAATTTATTGAACAAATCCACATAAAAATGATATAATATTTTACATAAACATAATGTATTGAATTTATTTTATTAAATTTCTTACATTGTTTTAAAAATCTATACAGTATGTCCTTATAGTTAAATTGTATGTTGTATACTACTAATATTGTATTTTATATATACTCATAATTTTATAAGCAATTAACTATTTAAATGATTTCGTAATGTTAATTCAGGTCAAAAATTAAAGCACTCTATTTATATAAGACATTAGTATCTATAAATATATATACAGTGGGATAAATTAGAATTCTACGAGTTTAACAATGGATAACAAAGTGATTTTTGTTTGTAAATTTTTCGAATACAAAATTTGAAATTAACAATATACCAATGGCACCTGTTGACCGTGACGTCAGTGGTATCTTCTTAGCATCTTCACGGTGCAATGGACAAGGCCTTAAATGTATAGGTCGATTCTGCATAGAACGAAAAGACCACCGGCCACTTGTTTTTGCGGCATTCGAAATAAGTCAGCGTACCAGGTAAAACCTCCGAATCGTTTAGAAATATTTCAAAAGTATACATACTAATTTTTCTTCAGGATTTCAACATACAACATTTTTGTAAGTATTTAATCTTTTATATATTTTGTTATTTATACGCATTAGGCATAACATGTATATATGCATTATAATTATTTAACGCACGTGCATTATTTTATATTATTCACCATATAGATTCATAATTATTTTATGCAATTAAAATTGACAAATGAAAAAAAAAAAAAATTTGTTATCACAATATTTAAAATTTAAATTTAAAACCAAGTTTTATATTTTCTTTTTTAAGTAGTGAATAAAAATGTTGATACAGAAAAATTATCTGACAACTGCTAATAACTTATAAATGTTTTAATTCTAGAACAGATGATATGAAGTATATATTTAGTTTATGTAATAATTTCTACTACATTTCTCCATAATATTTTTGCAAGATAAATGAATCTCTAGTATAACATGTATTATTTTTAACAGTTAATAATAGTAATAATATAACCAAACAAATAATACTATCATACTATTATATTTTCCAATTCATTAATTAAAATAATGAGTGAAAAAATATTTTATGTTTTTGGCGTAAATAATTATTACTGATTTATTTGAATTTACTGAATTATTTTATTTTATCATGATTATATCGCTAAAATAAACTTAATATAAAATCTTTAACCAATGAGTATATAATGAGTAACTCAATTATTCCATTTAACACTATATTTTAAAATGAATTAAATATTAATTTTTAAATTAAGAAATTATAAGAAACAAATTATGGTTTTATCAATATTTATATTATTTTTTACCAAAATATTGTAGTTAATACGTATTAAACATAAATAAAATTATGTTTAAACTTTATAGGGTTTATAATATTGTAGACAATATTGTAATCTTTCTCTTTCATACATTTTTTTTGTGAGTTATTGGTGAAAAAGTTTTATTTTACAATTTATAAAAATAGTGAATGAAATAAATGTTTATTACTAAATTGATATTTTTATAATTTATACTAATATGTATACTTTAACTTTAAAATCGATATCTTAATTTGCACTCGGTCCATCCCGTTTCATAATAATAATAATAATAATAATTGCCATTGAGCTAAGTGATAATATAGTGTAATAACTATTGTGCTATAGGTGCATATTAGGTACTTATAAAGAAGATGCACTAAAATTATTTATTTTGCGCAAACATCAGGCTTGTAAGTGGGGTGTAATTATTTTAAAAAATGTTTAAATTAATAAAACAGATAAATAATTTTATTTTAAAACAAGAAAAATACCAACAAGTGTAAAAGATAGGTATAATGTTTTCGATTTTAAAATAAAAATTATTTATACAAGCATTTTTATTTTTAGATTTTAAGTGAATGAATGTATTAACTTTACATTCATTTTTTTTTTTTTTATTGTGAATGAGTATACAATAGGTTGTTGATAAAAATGCTTTAATTTTCAAAACATAGTTTTGGATAATAAATTGAATCTATTTTGTATTTTGGATAGGACAAACTTAAAAATTCTCAGTACTTATTTTTATATCCGGGGGAAAAAAACAAAAGATTAAAATAAATAAGAATTTTTATAAGAGTTCGATTTTTAACAAAAACAAAAAGATTTTTTTTTTTGTATGACTTCAAAATGAAACTTGTCGAAACATTTTCACTAAATGTTTATATTATTATTTTCTATTTTTAGTTTTTCTTTTATAAATATCAATTAAAATTATTAGCCGAGTAGAAAGGCTTGAAAAGTTAATACAAAAATCTTCATTAATAGTAAACCATAAAATCTAAAAAGCGTATAAAAATAATTATTTTTTATAGACATTTTAAGTTCCAAATTGAACGAAATAACTTATTTAACCGATAAATAACGATATGTTGTAATTAAAAAAATTATTTGTAGGAAGAACTAGAAACTTAAACTTTTATTTATCTTAAATTATTATGAACTTTACTATATTATGCAATAAAATTTTTGATTTATTTTAAAGTATTATCTAATTATAGATACTTTGAACCTATTGTTACTGCTTTACAATATTTACAAAAAAATGTTATTACATTTTGGGTTATAAAGTTGTCATGGTATGATATAAATAAATATTATTATGATAATTGAATACTAATAATTTAATAAATACAATGATTTTGAAAAAAAATATATCATCTTACTATAATACCAAAAACAAAATAAAATTATTTTAATAGCTATATCAAATAAACATATCACTTAATGATATAAGCTGATATAATATGTAAATTATTTCTGATTTTTTTAAAAAATCTATTAAATTCAAATTTAACACACGCTTATTATAGGTAAAATAAGAGTAATCTAATCAGCTTCTAATGTAAAGGAGAACAGTATCCATCTACCCACCTTTTTTTAAAGCGTATCCATATGGCGTATAGCCATAAATACTCATTGAAAATGTATACTAAACCACTAAAATTCAAAGTTAATTTATAACTATTATTTAGCAAATATTAAATATAATATATCACATTTTTTTTTCATATAAAAATATATAAAATCTGTTTTTAGTTCAAAATACTAATTGTTTTTAATTGTTTTGAAGTTACATTTTGTTTTCATGTGCAGCATTGAAAAAACTATTTTCATTTTTTATTAATTTAATTTTTTTTATTGTTATATAATACATTTTTTTACACATCTTTCACAGAAAATGATGCAAGTCGCATGAATATTATGTTATAATTAGAGTAATTCTCAAATAAAATACATCCTTGGATATACCATATTATTCTCTTAAATTTTCCCATAGGTTATAATTACTAGATAATATATAATAACACGCGATTACCAATGTCAACAACACTTTGATGCTGCTATATTGCATGCACATTGCGCCGTCCCCAACGATTATAATATTTTTATTAAAAATAATATTATACTATTATTTACGCAATATGGAAATAGTGAAAACTGAAAAGCAATATTTTTGGAATAGACAGTCATCGGAAAACATTTATTCTTAGTATAAATACAAGTTGTAAAACCAAAATAGTGATAACGATAAAAATAATTAAGTATTTTGATTTTATTATTATTTTTTTTTTTATGGTCAAAATGTATTCTTATAAAATTTAAATACATAATTGTTTTTAAATTGTCGCATACAATTTATCTTGTTTATTTTAATCACAGAATTTCCGGGGTGAGATCCGCTTCAGACGACCATTTCATATAAAACCATTAGATTTGCTCAACGCTCAGTGTATACTGCACGTTCGTATTTATTATTTATTACACTTATTAATTACATATTATAAATAAATACATGTATATTACTTATATTGTATATTGTAATAACATGTAACGTGTGAACGAATTGACGATGACCATCACCACTGCGGTGATTCGTGTGATTCTTTTTTTCGTACCCTGTCTGAAGTATGTAATTCTTATTATTATTTTTGTCGTTGTTGTTACTATGTTATATTCAATAGAACTACATACTAATATCATATACTGTCAGGATGTATCACCGTGTTTATCATCGTACAAACACCAACTTGTCTACTCTATATATACATATCCCATACACGACTACAACCTGAATTATATGAATCATGCAGTTATATAAAATATTTAAACTAATTTAAATTTTATAAACAGATAACATGCTTTCTTTGGACAAACATCTAACACACTAAAAGTATAAGATATATAATATTCTGGTTGAATCATTGCCTATAATGGCTATAGATAGATATACATTATTTTACAAATATGTTTAAAAAAATCTTGAAATCAAATTCTTATAAACATATATTATACAATTATTGCATTTTTGATTTTCAATAAGCAATTATTGGTTTTCTTTTTATTGCTCTGGACACATTCTTGATGTAAATACACAAGGAAAAAACAATCCTAACGATAATGGATTTTTGATGAATTTTAAGTATTCGTCGAATTTGCCTTCAGCGTTTTGTGATTACATCAAAAATATGTCTAGAATTATTATTGAGTGGAAACTGAAAAGTCATAAAATAAATCGTTGAATTGTATTTGTACATATATTTTAATTGGAACAAAACGGAAATCGATTAACAGATAGATTATTTTAACCTGGGCCAATGTCTGGTAATAAAGCTGTATTTTAGTATAAATTTCAAACAATAATATACGTACAAATTATAATGTCATCGACAACACGGGTATTATTGTCACGATGCGAATCGAACCGGAAAACTAGTGGATGCCTAATTATATATTATTTTCTGGCCAAAAATCACGTACATAAGTAGATATAATATCTATATAATACGTTATATTAGAGAATATAGTGTATTACAGCAAATATATATGTTATATATGATTGTGGAAGTAATATATGATAATATTATGTACAATTGCATATAGTATAGTAATATACCACCTCCGTCTGCGGGTGACTGTTACGCGAAGTGCGCAATTACGCAGAGTATCGGACACGCGCCACTAAACGTTTAATAGTTACAATACATATATGGTTGATCGTGTGATGTGTGCAATGATGAATCGATGACGATTTTATTAGATTTAATATTTCGAAAAATACGTTTACGAGGACGTTGCACCCATGTGTGTTGACTCCGTCTTACTAACGCATAACACAATGAATTCTATTACGTCAAGAAGAATGCATTTACTATGTTATTTTAATTTTTTTGTACAGTAAAATTTATATTTAAGAATATTGTCTAGACCTACAGGGAACCTCGTGAGCCTTCTTTAATATTTTAATTTTTAAGCAGATTACGAGAATTTTAAAAACTTAAAATAAAATAATTGTATTTATTTGTAGGTTATACTGTTGTAATACATTTTTTTATTACCAAAATTATCAGTATTTAAATTTAAATAGATTATTGTTTTACATTCTCGTATGATGTATATAATACATAATACATGTATAATATTGTGCATATTACATTAATCAATTGCGGAATTCACTGGGTCTGATCTATTTCCGACGAGTTTATTTATATACTTAAATAATTTGGCCATCGAATGATTGAGTCATTGAAAAGTTATACCTTGTTGGTGTAGCAACTAAAAACCCATAAAATTCACAAAGAACTTACTGCCTATCTAAAAAGCTAATATAAATGGGAACAAATTTATCATTTTTTTAAGACATCAAACTAACTTGCATTCCGAAGTTAATTTTTGTTAGCCGCTCAAAATATGGACTAGTTATTAATATTTGATCGTTATTTTATTTTTTATGGTTACAATAAATTTTTATAGACATTATTAGAAAATATTTGAATCGAATAACTAAACCGTAGAGTAGCTGTTGCTGCAATCAAACGTCGAAAATCCTAAAACTCGATTGGCCGATATCTTGCCTATCCGATGCTACACATACTTAATCGTTTCATAAAAATTATTGAATTTGGCGAGATTAGAAAAAATTATAAATGAATATTTACAATCGTATTATTAAAATTTTTGTTTTCAATCGCATTTTACCGAACAATATTCATATTGATAAGTCACAAGAACACTGCTGCGATTGGCTGATTAATATCGACACGAATATTCTTCGATTTTTCAGTTCCATTGTAATGGCGCTATCGGTCCGGTGGACGTTGATGATAACGTCGGTGGCATTTTCAGTGGCGGTAGCATCGAAGCCAGAAGAAGTAAGGCGACGTGCGGCAGTGGACAAGCGACAAGCGCCCACGGAAGGCGATTTTGCCGACAGGTCGTCGGACGGATCGTACGCGTTCCGGTACGCCGACAGAAACCAGTTCCACTCGGCCGCTGCCAGTAAGGACAACGTCGTCTCCGGAAGGTACCTACTTAATATTTATCTGTGTGTGTGTATGTACTAACACAGAAGCATTTTAATTTATAGTTAATAATTAATATATTATGTACATGCGTTTGATTATTTAAGTAGGTACAATACACAAAATTATATACCAACTCTCAATTAAAACGCAACAATTATATTTCCGCACTTTCAGCAGCAATAATCGTTTTAATGGTTTAATAAGGTCAAGGATTTAATATTGTTACAATATAGATCGTTCCCGACAGTTGTTTAAAATACATAATCATTCATATTCATATAAAATGTAGATAAAAAATTTTTCGTTTTGATGCGTACTCACGTCATGCTGATTTGATTGCACGCACAGGTTTGGCTCAAGAAGTCCCGAAACCGGACGAATCGTGCAAACGTCTTATTCGTCCGGTCCCCGTGGTTTTCGCGCCCGTGGACCGGATATTGCGAGACAAACAGATCTGTCGCAAGTCCGTTTACCTTACAACCCACCCGTGCCCACTGATTCTTCTAAATACGACCCAGCCTATGACCGATATTACGACCCAAACGAAGACCCGAGCTACAAATTCACCGTCCGGACGCCCACACAGTCAAAATCCGAAACCGCCGATTCCAGGGGCCACGTCGAAGGCGCATATTCGTACTTAGACGATGTCGGTAAGTGTACATACCAATCGTAAACAATAATATTCTATATTATTACGTATATAAATACGTGTTCGCCGCAGGCACAACTCGGGGAGAGCTTGTAGGCTATTAATAACTGCGGTGTTTTAAATTAGTAACACGAGTATAATTTAAATTATCACCCACACAATGTACTTATGTACGCCATTAGTTGATTAATTAGAAAAATAAGGGATTCAGCGAACTTCCAGTTTTTTTTTTTTTTTATATTGAAATTGCGCTGCTGGCGTTTGCGCGTTTTTCAGGCAAGAGACACGACGTGCAGTACGAGGCGGGAGCCGGTACCGGATTTCACGTCAAATCTGCGCACCCAGATTCGGACACGTATGGAGGTGTGTTCTACAGCGGCCCGCCCGGCAAGCCCGGCGGCCGGCCACGCGGCCACTCGTCCGTCGTGCTGGGCAAGGACGGCTCGTACGGTTTCACTGCGTCCGGGCCAGACCAGCGGCGGTCCGAGGTGAGCGACTCCAGTGGCCGCGTGCAGGGCTCGTACACTTATGTGGACGACAAGGGCGTGCAGCGGACGGTGCAGTACGTGGCCGGGCCCAACATCGGGTACCGGGTGATCAACAACGCTGCGGCCGGCGGCGCGGCCGCGGCCCCATCGCTGCCGGTCAACAGTGTCGTTGTCGGCGGCGTCGGCGGCTTGGTGGTGCCCGTGACGCCGTCCGCGTTGCCCCCGCTGTCGTTGATCTCGTCGTCGTCGTCGTCGACGCCGCTGTCGCCAATCTCTTTCGAGCCACAGGACCTGTTCGGGCCCGTGTCCAGCACGTCCGCACCGCTTCCGGACCGCCGGCGGCCCGAGTCGCCGGTCAAAGGCTTCGGTGGCGGCCTGCCCGACGAATTTCTGTCGCCGGACAGCACGCTTCCGCTCGGCTCGGCGTTCCCGGAGGACGATCCCGCGCTGCCGCCCAAAAAATGGCCCACCACGTACAAGAACAAAGACGAAGAATCGTTCTTCCAGTCGTTCGAGAAGTTCGACAAGCGGAAGGAACAACAACACGGCCCGCCGAAGAGGGGAGGGTACCACGCGGTGCCGGCGGACGCGGCGTCTTCCTACGGCCAGCCGACGACCGGCGCGTACGGCCTGGTGCAGTCGTCTACCGGCAGGCCGATCGGGCCGCCGCCGGACACGTCGTACGGCCAACCGTCCCGGCCGATAGTGGTGGACGACAAGTACGGCCAGTATGGCGGCACCGACTATCAGAAACCCAAAGACGACGGCGGCTCGAGCGCTTTCGGCGGATTCCCGACCGGCGCCGTGGTCAAGGCCCACGTCCAGAGTTTGGACATACTGCCGTTCGGGTACAGGGTGCCGTCGCCGTCGTACGTTTTCGAAAAGCAGTTTGGCAACGGTGCGGACGATCTGAATTCGATCAAGAAGTAAAACGGATATTGCGGACGGTTTTCCGCGGTAGTCGGACGGGTAATACACGCGTAGTTGGCAATATTGTGTTTAGTGATGTATAAGTTCCTCGCCATGAAATTAAGATTTATTGTTTTTCAAACGGCGTGTACACTGTTCTTAGTTTCTGGCGATATCGTACACGATTGAACGATTGACTATTATCGACATAATATTATATTATTGATTGACCCGTGTCATAGTATATTGCTAGCTTACTGTTACGAAAGTATATATAATATACAATATATCAGTTAAATATAGTGTATTATATTATTTTTTTTTTTGCATACGATTGTATAATATGTCATAGTTTTATTATTGATCATAATTAGATTATAAGGACGAATAAATTATAATGGTATACTTTAAGAAGGCCACTCGTCGTAGCTCGTATACATAGTAATTAGCAATTAGTAATTAGATAGGTACTAGTATAATAAACGTGCACTAAACTTTAATATATATATATATGCTATACATAAAATGTATTTTTTAATGAATTATAACGTAGATTGTGTAGTAACGTATACTTATATATATATATATATGTTTATTTATGATTAAATGAAAAGTAATATGAATTTTTTGTAGTTCTATTTTCTTGAAGACGTTACAGCCGTGGAATGCCGCCATTTCATCCTCCTATTCTGAAACCATACTTTTACCTATATAATATTATAACAATTATCAACAATAATATAATGACATTGACACCAATATAATTATATTATGTTAATGGTGTAAATTATTAACTAACCTGCAAGTCCGTAAGTCCAAGACTGGAAGCCAATATCTTCCTGTTCTGTTTAGTAATGTATTTTTCCATTTGGAAATAGTATTCTAACCAATTCTTTTGCGTGACCGTGAACACAGCTCTACCGGAACACTTTTCTTTTTTACTCGTCGATCGATCTATTATAAAATTAATATGTGAACATAAAACTATCTCTTGACTTCTTAAAATGCATAAGAATACCCCGATCACAGATTAGGTATATTTTATTTATAGGTATAGGTAATTCATTATTTTATGTATTTTAAACACTTATATAATACAAACATTTTTAACTTGTCATAATTTAAAAATTGCGAAAATATTGTTTAAAACCCATTTACGTTTTATTTAACAGTAAAACGATACACAGATGCGTATTGATTTGTAAACGGATTTAGCCATACTTATCATAAATTAAATCCATTTAAGCTTACGTTTACTTTTTTGTTATAAAATAGACACAAAAATGTGAGCATTATTTTTATTATACAGTATTAGCTGTTTAAATATTTCAACTTAATTTATATCAAATTTTGTATTACATAATATAACCCCATAATAAAATATTATTTAGGTATTTGTAAAGTTCACTATAATACAATAATATGAATAATACATCTATTATCTTATAAAAGGGTTGTGATTTTTTTTTCATTACTTATTGTTACAATTTCAAAATATATTTTTAATTTCTATTATTTTACTTACAGACTCTGTAAGGTACTTTAATTTTAAGTGACCAATAGCACTAAACTAAATTCAACAATTTTATTTTAGTTAAATACATAAGTTTCTGAATACGAAATTTAGATCTTTCTCATAATATTAATAATAGTATAAATTCAATATTTACCCGAGTCAGTATTAATATTCAGTATTCTATCAATTCCAAAATTCAATGAGTCAGGCACTTGCAGACACGGATGTGGTTGTCGGTAATCCATTTTGAGTACTGAATGTTTAAATTCACAATTCACATTTTTTGCTTTTGTTTTTCAAAGAATATAAAAAATATAGAAGGGGAGAATAATTAATTATTTAACAGTTCAACATTGTTCACTCGTGTTTTAAGAATCTAATTTACGACCGTTGTGGTTTAAATGTTTTAAACTTTTAACAGTGTTTATACTATATAAACCTAAAATACAAAATGTCAGTTTACGTGGTATGAGATTTGTGTTGTTTGACGCCAGAACATTTGGACGCAGCTGTTTAAATAAAAATCAATTATATTTTATGTACGACTATAATCCTTAGTGTTTATAAATATTATTGTGTTTAAGTATAGTCTGCTTACAGACTTGATTTCTGAAGTGCATTGGTTATGATATAACTAAGAATAGTAAAGTTATTAGTTAATGATTCTAGTGATTAGTCAGTGGACCATAATGTATGAGCAATACTGCTAGGTATATACAGTACAATGATTTTAGAGCTTAAAATATTAAAATTTGGCATACAATTTCAAATATCTGTTAAGTAGTAATTAATCGATAATAACTCACATTTTGTTCAGCATGCTATGTGTACCTTCCTATTTAAACTATAAATTATGATGGTGTGGTCTATTAAGACGTGGATACTTAAGTTTCAAGAAATTTGTTTCTAGTTTTGAATGAAACAACTGTCTACCTCAAATTAAACTCGATTTTTTTGTTATAATTATATTATATGTGTTTAAAATTAGAAAAAAGATAATAATATGTCCTTTATAAAATAAATTAATAATATATTTAAAATGATTTATTACAATCGGAACCCCAACAGATGTCTGATCTTAAGTCATTTAAAATGTTTATTAAACACGGTACCGATAAACAAATTTCTTGTACGCAATCGGTGAAGAGGGGACGTTACACAAATTAGTAAATATACTATTTTTTCATTTTGTAACAGATAATTTATATATATTAAAAAAAAACTTAAGATAAATATATTTATATGTTCTGTTATTATACATAATAATTTAACATAAACTTGTATACAGGATTTGTAACGTTCACAAGAAAAGTGAACTCGTTGATATTTACGTTCGTTGTCCAATAATGAACGGGTTCATGCTTACAATAGATATTTTTCTTTTAAATAACGCGTTCATACTTAGTATGTTTGTCATAAAAATGAAAATATTTCTTAGGTTTCTTCAGCTATGAGTCATATAAAGGCACTAGTCACTAATAGTATTATATAGGTATATTATACGGCAATATAGCTATTGCCGCATATACTCGAGTACATGGAATCTTATAAGTTAGTAATAATTTTAAAATGATGCTCGATAATAATTCAAAAATCATAAATTATAGTTATTTTGTGAATTAATAAAAAAATAAAGATCTTATTAAACTATTAAATTTGACTATATAATTATCTAAAACTTCTTATATATGTATATGCAGTTGGGCATTTATAAATTATAATGCAATTAGATAATTAGGTCGCAACATACCTATTAACATGCGCCGTAAGTACTGTCACTTGAAGTGACATAAATGTGTACGTCATTTAGTGCGAAACGATACAATTAAAATACCAGATCCTGATCATTTAGATATCTACAGCAAGTCGACGGTATAAAATAATTAAGCATCAGTCTTTAACAGTGAGGACTTAAAGTAACATTTAAAAAATAATCATTAGTATAAATGAATTAAAGTTAACAATGAACACTTTGCTAATAGGATTAAGTTTTTCGCTTATATGTTATTTGAATGGACTTGACGAAGAAAAGCCATATTGGGGCACAGGAATTATGGATTTAGAAGCATTGCCGTTAGAAAAACTTTTGAAAATGAAAAAAGAACTTCAAATAAAAGGTAAGAAGTGTATTACTTAAATTATAAACTATAAATTTATCAACTAAATAATTGATTGATAAAATGTATATTTTTTGCACTATACCTATACTTTTATGAGGAATCATGCTCGAAATCAATATTTAGATAAAAAATGAATCTTATTCAAACGAATAAATTAAAGTAATTAAATTTTTGTATTGATATTTAATATTTAAATATAGATGACAATTAATGTATAGTATTTTACGTATTATATGATTGTTTATTTTAAATTCTGAACGGAGTAATACATGTATTAATTTTATAATTATATAATTTTTTTAATCAGGGTTAGGTTTTATAGCATTTGCATATTTCTTATAAGATGTTTTAGAAATAGGAAAAATAGCAAAGCAAGCTTAAAATAGTGTTTAATATTTAAGAAAAATAAAAATCAAAAATTTAACTTTGCATATTTTGTGGTTTTTCAGATTTGAATACTATTTTTATACTTTTTTTAGATTTTTACCTGATTTTAATCAAAACCAATGATATTGTTCGAAATAGCATTTTAATAAATGTATATTTTTAAATTATTATCAATCGGATTATTCAAGAAAATATACAAATATCTCAGACACGAGCAACGGCGTTCACCATTACATACATTACATAATTGATTCTAGTTTTAAATTTTTTGTTATCTGCTAATTTTGATGAGATTTTTTGTAGATTATGACTACGATTTCTGCTTTTTATATTTTGCATATTTAATTGCGTATTTTTAGTATATACTTAGCAATAATAATAAAGGTAATATTTTAACGCTTATTTATGCGATAATTATAACTCCTGCGTACAATAAAGTTCTATCCCGTTTATTCCAACTCGAAACGTACACAATTGTTTCTATCTACAGATGAACGTTCGGTACGACGGGCCGACGAGGAGGCGTCGGCGGCATCGGCGATCCCGGTGGATGAGGACACCCCAAACGCAATGGCCTTGCGCAGGACCACGGATGTTCTGCACTCGTCGGCGGCCGGCGGTTCGATGCAGACAGCCTTTCAGATGTCGCTTACCGTCCTGTCGTTTTTAGCGTTCGGCGGCTACGTGATCAGCATGGTCGCGCAGAACATGCGCAGGCCTACGCAGTCACTTAGCGGCGTCACGGCGTCGCACCCACTCAAGGCCGTGGTAGTCAACCGGAAGAAACAGCAGAGTCTGAAACTAGGACCGTCCGGTCCCATGACCACGGTCAGCTTCGGGCGGCGCAAGCGGAGCCGGAGGTTCCCGCGAACTACGACGACTTGTTCTTAGTACTGTTTAATTCTATATTAAATTGTTTATTTTTATTTAAAAAAAAAAAAAAAACGACTGACTTCAACGTAATATTATTGCTTTCAATACCACAGCATCGTGATGTTATAAACCAGGTATATTGTTTAAAACCCTCTAAATTGTATGAATATCAACTTCTTAATAATATGAACAACATTAATTTCTGACTTCTGTTTCGTTTTGTGTTTTTTGAAATTTCGATTTTTATGGGCAATGCAAATTCCTAGTTGTATTAATATTAATAAGAATTAATTATTATCATAGGTTATTCAAACATATTTTTTTCAAACAAATTGTAAGACTGTATAAATATTCACAGTAAATTACATAGTTTTCAATTAACTTACTATGTTAATACATAATATTTCAATACTCAAGAAAAGTTTTTCGGATGCAATATTTTATAAATGATGCATTTTAATTCAACACATTCATTACAGTGAATTAGGAAAGGAAGAGGTAGACTAATAAGTTATAACTTTGCTTGGAATTTTGATGAAGCGTAATTTTTATTTCTAGTGTTTTAAAATGTAGATCCATAATTCAGAACTGGAAAATATGTTTTAGGAGGATTAATATATTTATGACATGTTCATGTCTTTATTACAAAATAAAATTTTCAAGGAAATAAATAATTAACTTTAAGAGTGAAATTAAACACAATTTTACAGGTTAAAGTTATAATATTTTACCTATGAATAAAAAAATCAAATAAATATATGTTAAGTGTCAGGTTTGGATTTAAGAAGAGGGAATAAGAGGCTTTAGCCTCCATCTTTTGAAATGTTAAATATTATTTAATAAATTATAAAATATATAATTCATATGTTTTAAAATTCATAAATTTAAAATATAAATCAATTTATTGCTATTATTTTCATGTTCTATCTATAACCTATAAATTACCTACAAAAATTATTCTGAAAACAATACAGCTCCCCATTTTAGATTTTTAAACTCATGCTTGCTCAGTCTCAGTGCTAATTGAAAACTTCTTTCATTGTCTTTAAATTAATGCAAAGATTAAGATTTTAAGCATTTTTGGCATTGGATAACAATGTGTTCAAAATTTTAAATCATATTTTATTTTATTATTATTATTATTATTTTTTTTTTATATTTTTAGAATATTTTTTATGTTATAAGCTAATTCACTGATTTATTTTCAAAATTTAATCATTATAACGATGAAAAAGTAATTCCTGTTCTCAGTAATAATTATTTATGCATCAAATTAAAAATTTTTCAAATTATGTTTTTAAAGTTGCATATAATGTATTATTATTATTATAGAGGAAAATATTAGGTAGCCTATTTTTGTTTTGGTGGTATTTACCTATATACTTTTATTATAAAGGAAAATTTATGTTACTAAATTATTAATGATGTTGAAAGGATAGAATAAAAGAAAAGTTAAATAATTCTTAAATATGTGAAAAAAAAATAAAATACTATAACGAATATTTGTTGTTGTTGTTTTTTTTTTTTTTTAATTGCACAAAGAAAAAATAAGAAAAAATTACTTAGTGCATTTAAATGTAGGTATCTCAAAAAGTCTAGACTGTCGTTCATACGGGATATTCACGGTATCTTTTCTCCGAGCCGCTACGTTACCAGCCCTGTGTCCCATGGCCCGGGTTATCTCATTATATTTTTCGGTCGAGATTTATCGTTTTAAGTTTAATTTTCGATTCAGGAGACTATGTTCATCTAACCAATAAATTGTGAGGACACTTTCGTTTTGTAACAAAACTTGCATTAGACTTCTTCTAGCGTCCCTGCACTTGAATTTTCAGACATTGATTTACGAACCCCCCTTTTCTGAATTCAATTAAAAATAAACTAAGGAGAATTGTACTAATTTCAAACATGCTCTGTACAGGCGTGTTAACGAAAAAAAAATTGCTAATTGTATACTAAATGTAATAATGGTAAATAAATATTCCTATAAGGTAAAGTTATTATTCAGAAATGTAATAAAACATACAATAATTCATAATATATAATTTTATTTTTATTTTTTTTTTTAGAAATTTTTTTAGATTATATTTTAATGTAAAAATAGTGTTGGTTAAAATGTAGCGTTACCTTTATACGTGCAATGTTATTTACTATTATTATGCTGAGAAGATTTTATAGAATAATCAATGAGTGGTGAAATATCAATAACGCCTAAGAATAATTCAATGTGACTAATCTTAGTAAATGTTGAATTCGAAAACCATTCTACATACATTACTTATTATCAGCTGTGGTCATTGTAGATCAACTTTGAAAGCCGATTTTATGATTTTTATCTATAGCAAATATATTTATAAAGTAGACTGTTTAATATCAACGTGCAGTATCGACTATCGATGAGGAATTTACTAATGTATTGGTAATGTTTTTATAAAATAAAATATAATACAATTAAACAAAGTAATATAAATTACTAATGTAAATATTATTTCTATGTCTTTTATCTCTTAGACACTAATGGGTACATTTGCTATTGAGAGTCAAGCACTAAAACGATTGTTAATGAATTAAATAAATACAACATGTTGATTTATTAAAATTTTTGTAAATTCGGTCACATCCAAAAATCCAACTCTTCGACGACAGTCTTCGGTAGTAAAATAGAAGAGGTTAATAACAATAAAAAAAAAAATCACTCATGAGGTGGCTGGATAAAATAGCAGACAAAACACAAAAACCACCCAGCTTACCAATATCCACCCACATCCCGACAACTTTGGGTCCTAAAAGTTCTTCATCAGAGTTTAACCAGGCTTATGATAAACTTGCTTGGAAAGCACCGTAAAGTTTACCGTGGTAATTAAAATTAAGCTGTCAACGAAAAAATAAAATAAAAATTATTACGTGTATAAAAAAAAAATTACAAAACTATCAGAAATTTTACAGAAAGAACAACTGCAAATAAAGTATCACATTTAAAGGCGTTAAACGAAAAAGTTGTGTAACGTTCTGAGTTGTTTTTGTTTTTCACACACACCGAGTAATAGCTTCTTTTCCGCGAATTAAAAAAAAAAGAAAAGAAAAAACACATACGAATCTATCATAAATAATTAATAGATATAAAGCAGTGTAGTCAACGTAGTACCTACTCACTGATTTTCTAAAGTCTGGTCGAATTCAACTAACATTTTTAAACAAATAATAATTTAATACACCTACACTTTGAAAATACATTATTATTACTATTATTATTATTATTATTATTATTATTATTTAATTTATGCAGTTCTGATATATATCGACACAAAGACAACATAACGATTAAAGTATTTTGACACTGACATTAGTTAATCCGTTAAATTGTTATACGGTTGGCACTTAAAATTTTAACCAAACATTTTACACCATATATATACACACTACAGTATACACACATAAAATAACAATGTGAACGTGAGAAATTTATTGTTTATAATGCTAACAAATAGTTTTTTTTAAACCAATAACTTTATGAGGTAAGTCGTCATATACTTCTTGCACATGCGTTGCGAAATTAACCAGTGGGTTTATTTCTGATGACATAATAATATAGATTTTGATTCATGCTGACATACAATAAAGATTTTGCTTATCTATCAAAATTTGCATAATTTCTACGATATAAGCCTGAATTTAATTTTGTACATTTATTTTCGTTTAGTATACAATTAGGTATATCGATTACGTCTATAGTTTTAATTTAATGCCCTAATGAAATATAGAATCATATATCGGGGATTAAATAAAACGAATAATCGTGCACATGAAATAATATAACGGTAGGTATGCACAATAATTATCAAATGATATTTCTTCATTTAGCTATTTTAGAAAAGGTAACTAAGTACCATATATTTTTATACTTGAAATTTAAATCTGAAAAAATTAGAAAATAATAATTACTTATTATTACTAATTATTAATATTTAATAATTACACATTATTTAGGTATGTTATTACTTATTACAATTACATTATAGGTACATCGAAATTTGAAATATTAACGAAATTTTATCATAATAATATACCTACCTATTAATATAATAATAAAATTATATGGTTTTAATTTTTGAAACAAATACGTTACTCTGTAAACATAAAATTCCTTTATTAATAAAAAAATTATCTGTTCGTATGTTATACAATAAGAAAATGTTGTTTTGAATAAAGTTTATACCTACCGAATAATTAACTAATAATATGTATAAGTATAACGGGTCAACAGTCATTTTAACTATACCTTATATAGCACAATTAATATAAATATTAATAGATACTTTTAATTAAGATTGACGATACCAGAAGTATAGAAACAAACAAAAACAAATTCAAAATAATAAAAATTCTTAAAAAAAAAAAAAGGTGTTCACACATTATACCTACTATATACTATATAGTATATATAATGATATGATACGAACGTTTTTTTGTTTTTTCACAGACCATGGCCTACTATCCTTCTTCCGAGCCTAATGGTTCGTGTATATACAATATACATATCTACAAATTAATAATTATATAGTATTTTGCTTCGTCTTAGACTTTCGGTTCTTAGCAATTCGGTGTGACATATTGCAGCCATCATTATAAACACGTCTCATTTGTCTGGAATATTTTTATTTTTTTTATATAAATAATTTTGACCTCTAATGTTTAATACCTCATTACTTATCACACCATAAGTGTTTGCAAAATGTCTCCTTTTTAATAGCTTTTTGTTAAATAGATATCTTTAAAAATCGATTCATGAAAATTTTTATGCAGTCAAGAATCTCGACAATATTATTGTAATAATAGCAATAACTAACAATAAATGAATCATTTTTTTTTAACTGATCTAAAAATAAAATATCAGTTAACATGTAAGTTTTGATTTTTAGTTCACTGAAAATCAACCAATGAGCCAATATTGTCGATTTAAGCAAATGTTTTTATACTTAGATTCTGAGTGGGAGCAATAAATGTATTAATTTTATGATTTTTTTAATTTTTTTATGTATACACAATAAGTATCCAGTCAAAAAATGATTCGATCATTAACTTTAATGATGGTTTCTCATAAAAATTGTATCTATAGTTTGTACTTTTAAAAAGTAAATATTCCTTGTATTTTTCAAAATTATCTAGAAAACAAATTGATATAAATCCCGGTTTTTGACAAAATCATTCTTTTTTATGTTATTCAAAAATACAAAAAAATAAATACCTACTTAAAATGTCCATCAAACGTTTATACCAACATCTAATATACATCATAAAATTTTCAATATATTTTAACTATTTTTGAGCTATTTATAGGCATGACTGATGGAAAATTTTTGATTTTTAAAATTGTAATCAATTAATGTAAATTGAAAATTGATTACCAGATTCCTCAAGTTTTTCACCTATAAATTATAATGTAAAAAAGTTTAACTAGAAATTCTGGTTATTTTTTTGTAAGTGTTTCAAGTTCAAATTTTTATGACATTTAATTTTCATTTAAGAAAAATCTATTTATCTCTTCAATCAATTTTTGATATTTAATTGTAAATATTAATTAAAAATGAATAAGTATAGATATGCCATTTTTTTTTTTTTTAAATATTTATATCTCATTTCTTATACAATTTTTTTAATATTTTTAAAAATATATAAATATTATTATTTTTTTTGGTTTGGTTTGTAAAAAGATCAAATTTTAATACATTGATGTTCAATTTTTGATAAAAATTGTCATGCTCACAAACATTTAGTAAATTATATTGTACTTAACAAAGTTAAAAATTGTTCATTTTCATAGCCAAGACTTAAAAATATTAATTTAAGGTTACTGATAAATAGTTTATACTAAAACCAAAAAAAAAAAATCCAAAAAATTTATAAAAAATTTTTTATACATTTTAAGTTCAACTTTGGACAAAATTAATAATGATGATTTTAGTTATTTTTTAGGTTCATAAACATAATTTGTGATTACTAAAACATTTACATATTTATAATTAATTAATTTATAAATTATATTTTATTATTAAATCAGTGATATTTTAAAAATGTGTAGATTAATTATTTTAAGGCATTTTCTGTACTTTATTGCAATGAACCTATTCAAACTGTTTTACAAGATTGATTCAATTTAATAATTATAACATGATATCAAATAAATGTATATCATTAACATGATAAATACAATTTGTTTAGTAAAAATATAATCAACTAAATATAATACTAAAATAAATTACTTAAATAAAAGTATTAAAATTGCATTTATTCATGTATGTGGTACACTGATTTTAGAAACAATTAATTTCTTTACCAGATTAAATTACAACTATTTTAACAAGCTATAGGAAGTATTACATTGCTATATAAATTTATATTAAAACAAAATAGTTTAAATGTTGAACTGCCAGTTTCTATATATATTTACATAAAGTATTTCTTTAAATCTCTAGTAGTCCCTATTTTAAATATTATACTTAGGTAAGGCTATTTATTTAAGTAGTTTTAACTTGATCAATATGATTCTAAAATCAATATTAACTGAATAGGAGCAATTTCAAATTTAATCATAAATACATTGAATTTAAACTGTTATATTTTATAAATAAACAATAATTTTCTTAAAGTAAACATATTACTACATAAAAATTATAATCTATAACTAATGTTACATAAATGACTCTTAATTATCTATTAAAATACATCTGAAAACCATCAATAAAGCAATATGCCATATGGTTGATAAATAAAAATGGATAGTAAAATAGTACATAAATACATAAAATATGACCTATAAAAATATTTCTAGTGGTACATACTTTAAAATAAATAATTAATGATGTTCTTAAACTTTAAAAACATTAATACTTATGTTTATAAATCTTATAAATATATGTCTTTTTACAATAAATTATGTTATGCTGGTATTATTTTTCTTAAAAATATTTTTAATTTAAATGAATTATTCTAATAAAAATTAAGATATATAAAAACTAAACATTTTAAAATAATATTGTTTAACAAACACAGATGATTAAATGTATGAAAAAATATGATTAGGTAACTATACTTAATATAAAATGTCATGGCATTTAAATATTTTAAAATATCACAAGGTTTTCATAAATTAAATTAAACATTAACTTTTAAGGACGGTTAAATAATAATACAATGGATTAATGACATAAATAAAAAAATTTTTAACTTTAATTATATATAAATCTTAACTGGAATGAAGTTGACAATGTTAATGAAAAATTGCATTTTTTTAATAATTAACAAAAAGTTAAATAAATATTTTGTTTTTATGTAATATAATGGACTACCTACTATTTTTAATAAAAACCTGACTAAAAGTAATAAAATTATACATTAATTTCTAATCAATATACTTTCATTATATGTGGATTTTAATAAGATTTGTCAAACTTCTTTTAACTAGCATAATTTTTAAAATGATTTTACTTTATATTTATTAAAAATTTAAGTATAATAGTATTATTAATTAATAATTATAAAATTTTAAATATTCCTTCTTTAACATAGTTATTAGATTTACCAAACCTATGTAGTTATATTTAATTGTTTCGAAAAATATGCTTTGTATATAATTTAATTTATATATTATATAATTTGTTCTTAAAAAAATAACTTTGTTTATACATACTTTTGAGCACTGTTTTAAGGATATCCATTACATTTGGTTAAATAAAATACTAATATTATAAAATTAGCAAGCGTATGTGTACATAATTAGATACAATTGGTATATTTTGTAAAAAAAAGTAGAAATACGTTTTCTTTAATTTTATTTTAAAATCATGAAATACCTATATTTTTTGATTTTTAATGATTAGATATTTTTTTCTAGGTAATTTTTGTGTGCACATACAATTAAGATTTTTACAAATAATTTTATCAGAACATAGCTAATTAACTCAAAGTTATTCAAATGAAATAAAAATAGTCAAAAATATATATATTTATTACAAGTACTTTTAATTAAATTTAAAAAACAAATTTTTTAATGATATAGAGTGATAAAAAATAAATAAATATGAAAATAATCAAAATATTAAAAAAAAATTATTTTTACTAAATTTAAATAATTTATAATTTAATTATTGTTTCAATTATTTTTATTGATTATGATTTATGAGTCAATAACTAACAAGTCATTTAAATTTATGAAAAAACTAAATTTGAAGAGTAAAAGTATAAATTGGTTTTTAATTTCTCCTTTGAGCAGCAAGTCTTTCAAGATTATATACTAAAATACCTAATTATATACATATAAAACACCTCATTTTTGCATAACTGGTTGAAATTAAACTTCAATATTCATGTCAGATCGTAGACCACGGTTCTTAAGTTTTATTTCTGCTTTTAGTATTGGTTCTTCAGTTCTGGTATGCCATACGTACACCTACATTTATAAATGACTACAAGTATAGTATAATATATACAATAATAAAACATTATTTGAGCAAACTTACTTTTGTACAATTATCTGCCATAGGCTCCAATTGTTCTACAGTGGTTACCTGTGAAAGTATAGCACTTTCTTGGTAACCTCGACTGACATCCCATGAAAATGCAGCATTTGGATGTTTATGTAAAAGTTTTAAATTAATGGCAAAACCTGCCATATCAACAGGAAATGGTCGCTCTGGTCTCCAAGCACTGTTCCAACCAATTACTTTACCTTTACTATTTATTAATGGTTTTTCTACTAAAAGACCACCAACAAGACCAACTGGCCATACACCAACACCTTTTACTCTTCGCATCTATGAAAAGAAAATATGAAAATAGAAATAACTATAATAAATTAAAAATGATTGTTCATGATAACATTAAAATTGTTATAGTATAGTAATATTTACTTCATTAAATAAATCAACACTATATGTGTTATCATCATCAGCGAAAAAGATTATCCCCTCATCATTTTCATTAGCTCTGTTATTTCTTAACCATTCTAAAGCCTTATTTCTTTGTTTAACTCCTCTAGGTTTTTTCCATTTAGGTTCCTAAATGTATGTATGGTAAGATTAATTTAATAAAATTAAATTAAAATATCAATTATTTTAAACTGAATACTTTTAATTTTCTCTTCCATTCAGCTGGTGTTCCTATGGCTAAGTGTGTGTAATTTAAATTACTTTTATATAGCAAATTGGCTACGAGTGAAGTTTTCACTTCAGAATCTTCAACAATAATCCAATGGAAATTATTTACAAGACGAAAAGTGTTAGACAATCTATAATATAAATAAAAATTTTGAAAATATTAAAAATTATTAGACAATACCTATTTAGAAGTTTATTAAGTCTACCTTGTTAGTTCTGCTTTTTGTACAGGTCTTTTGTAAGTAGGTGTAATGGCATATATAACTGGAATATTTGGTTGCCATTTATCACATATACTTTCAAATCTTTCTTTTAAAATATTATAATTTATAGAATTAATTTGTAACTGGAAAAAAAAATGTAAACATCATAGAAGACTTACACAAAATTCAAAAAATACAATTCATTAATAATTCATCAAATACAAATAAGAATTAATATAACACCTGAAGGCTATTAGTTACCAAGAAAACCATAAGCAAAAACAATTAAACATTATCCATGGTAAATTTTAAGAAAAATGAATAAAAAACATTCTCATATTATTAATGAAATTAATAATTTCAAACTATGTTAGTAACCCTATAATTTTAACCAAGATAGAGGTATTACTGATACATTTTAGTAAAACTTCATAAAACAGAGCATTTTACATGAATAATACAATACACTGATAAAAAATTACCAACATAAACAATTGTAAGTAATTTTCTCATTATTAGTAGAAAATTTTAAGCTTTAATAAAATCAGTTTCTCCATAACAGTTGTATATGTTGTAAATATATTTTGAAATATTTAAAGTAGCAGCATAGTAAACTAAAGAAGTGGTATAAATATAAAATATAAATGACAATATTTATTTTTCATAATAGATTGGTGGATTATTATTTGTATTTATAAAATTATAACTTTACGTATTTATGTTGGGATCTATTTAGAATGACAAGAGAAACATTTCCTATAGCCTAAAGGGTTGGTTATTTAAATTCATATTATACTACTATTTTAAATTAAAAATAACAGATTTCAATGGTGAATCAACATTGAAGGACACTTGAGGATAAATAATTTATAAATGTAATAAGTAAACTACTTTAAAATATCATGGTATTCATACTTCTTTTTTAGTGTGTTCCAATGTCTGTTTTAAATTTTGATATCGTGATGCATCTAATAAAAATAAAATATTTAAAAATAATATTATTCTTTTAAGAAAAATAAAACTAAAAACTAATTACCTCTACTTCGAATTCCAATGAACCAAAAAATTAGTAGTGTGAAAACCCCCCAAAAAAATATAGTTCTTCTTTTATTAAACATGTCCAAGAACTTGTAGTTAAAATTATAATTACTCATTTTAATTGAATTGTAACATTTAAATTTGTCAATATATCTTCAACTATCTACTAATTTATAATAAAAAATTGATCAATCAAAGCTATATACAATTCATTAATTATCTTTCACAATAATGTCATGGCCAACAAATAAATATAGGTACTTAGTATTTAATTTATAAATTTCTTTATAATAAATATTAAAGATTATTTAACTAAAATAAAACAATAATTTAATAAAAATGCAAAGTACATTACACATTAATTCACTAATTATTTAATGTCAGTCTTTTATTATATTATTTGGGAGAAATGCTAGTAAATTAAAAGAAGCATCACCGTCATGTTAGGTACTCGAGTTATTGATTTTAATTTTTGACCACGATTTTGTTAGTCAATAGTGAATAGTGATTGTAAGACGTCTTGATAATATAGATGATGAGTAAGCCATCATCATAAAATTGTTGTATAGTGATAAAAATCTTCGTTTCTAAGTTCAACGCTTACAAGGCTTAAAGATAATAATAACAAGCGACTATATAGATGAACCAATGCAGCTGTTTTTAAATATTATCAGGAGTATTGTATTGTCTGTATATGGTATGTCTGAACATTTTAGTCATTTCAGTCATTACTGATCAGTGATTAGTAACTGATGCATTGAACTGCAACAAGCTATGGTTAAGTGTCGTGCAGTTTATATTTTGTAGACTTATTCCTCGTAGTGTTGACTAGTGGCTGACGATTGTTATGAGTAGTGTCTTTTGCTTGGTGATTATCGATCTCCTCAAATTTGGGTAAGTGTAATTAATTTTTGCTGTATTAGTAAAATGTTTTATATTTGATTTACGTTTTTGTACGGATAGTAAACATTTAGATATCGATCGTAATTTTATTATTTATTCAAGGTTTATAATTCACTTAGTATTCACCATTTTACCATATTGATATTTTTGATTAATTCGTTAGGATTTATAGTGTTCATAACCATATAAACTATGGTTTTTTTATAATTTTGTATTTCACAGTATACACATGTACCTGTCTAAAATATATCTTTAAAATTCAATAAATGAATATTGTTTATTGTAGAAATATATTATTCTTAAGACAAATATCATCTGATTTATTTAAGTTTATTAAATGCATATCGCCATTTACCATAGATGCTACATTTTATCAGGCTAGTTATGCTCAAGTCAATATTTATTTCAAATTTTGATATCGTGATTTTGTTAAAATATTCATTATCTATATTCTTTGTCTAAACTGTGAACTGATAAAAAAAAAAAAGGATTATTAAATAACTATGTAACTTTAAAATGTAATTACTTATCAAAAACTTAAGTATTAATTTGATTATAATTTTTTCAATACATAACAACTTTAAATAATCTTTTATATAAGCTACATGGATATTTACAGGTAATACTATTATTCATATAAAAAAATTAATTTTATTATTATTATATTCACATTAACCCTACAATACATAATTTTTTTTCATAAAAGTAAATATTTTTTTTAAGTTTTTAAGGTTTAAATAACATGGGAAAAACGATAAAAAAAAATTATGAACTTAAACTGATGAGTTATAAGTTTATAAAGTTGGTTGTTTAGGAACAACATCATGCATTTATAATATAAATAATATTGGTTATTATTGGTTTTTGGATCAAATTAGAGTGGTTATTTTTCAAGAACGATAAAATGTATTGTAGGGTTGAGGTAGTCTATACACTTATTATTTTTATTACAATTTATTTGATTAAAAAAAAAACGTATTGAAACAAAAGACCTGTAACCGAGTCTGTAACAAAATTTTGTTTAATATCTACCATTTTTGCTTTAGTTAGATATCATATTAATCTATAAATTAGAAATGTTAGATGTACCTATAACTTTTTATACTTGACAATATTTACAAAATAAAAGTTATTGATAAGACTAAATTATTGTCAAAAATATTGAATAAAATCATTGCTGTATTGACTATTTTCAATTTTTCAAATAAAAAATCAATGATAAACTTTTTAAAAGATAACTGTTTTTTACCACAGTATACTAATTGCTTTAAGTATGGTAGTAATGTGAAAAATTAATACAATTTTAACTTTAATTAGTATAACTGATAGTACCACTTGGTTAAATGTATTTGGGCGGTAAAAATAATCTTATATTTTTTAACTTTTATATATTTATAATGGTAACGTTTATAATTAATAAGATTATTTAAAACTAATGTGATTATTAGAATTATCTTATAAAAATGTATTCAGATTAAACTTAAAATTTTTATTCACAAATTTTCATTATATTAATAACTAGGCTTACAATTAATTATTTATAATTAACAGGTTTGTTATCTTTGTATTACATATTAATATGTTTTGATGTATGTATGTTAAATAAAAGTTTAAGTTTTACATTTAGGTTATAAATTGTAGAAATTTATTTGAAATTATCACTTAAGGCAACCTGTATCATAAAGTATGATCGCTAACTGTCACATGGTGGTTAATGTATTTAAAATCAACGATTTAATGGTCTTTTAAACAAGATTTAGTAGCTTAGTATTTTTCCATTCAATTTTAATAAATCATAAAATTAATCAATATTTTGTGTAACTCAATATTAGTATGAATAAAATGATAATCAATTAATTTTCAATAATTATTATTTCTTACTACCCATTAATTAGTTTGGTTCTGTATTTAATTATTTTTGACAACCTAAATTAGTTATAGACGTGTGCAGCTTCCAGTTTTAGGGGCAGCTAGAAATAAATTGAACCCTTTCTTCATATTCACCATTAAAACCAGTCCATTATATTACTTTTTTTTTACTATTGGGTATCAAAATTGAAATTGTATTGGTTATTTTTAAAAAGTTGTACACTAAGGTACTTAGCCACTAAAGGTGTACTTTTTCGCAAGCGTCATGGTTGGTGTATGATGTACTTGACCAGGGGTTGGCAACCTTTTTAACCACGCAGGCTATTTTTATTTTTTTAATTGTTCATCAAAGGCCACATTAAAAAAAAAAAAAATACATATTATAATATAATGCTTATAATTGTATTTCTATTATAAAACGGTTAGATTAGATTCTATTTATAAAGGAAAAAGAATTATATAATATTGAAAATTATATGAAAAATGTTATTGAACAAAAATAAAACATAAAAAATAACCACCTTTGTGCGGGCCATCAAAAATTGTTTTGCGGGCCGGGGATTGCTGACCTTTGTACTAGACAATAACATTAAAAATCCAGTTTTTTAGATTTCTAAGCGATAAATGATAACAAATAATAATAATTACGATTTAAAATCATGGATATTTTTTTTATAGTAGACAGACTTATTAGCTTTTTATTAGTAAATTCTAAAATCATAAAATATTTATTTATCTATACTTTACCAAAAAAAAAAAATAATTTTTTTTATAATTTTATAATCTAAAATGGTCATAATTTGTGAAAATATGTTTACTGATGCCCATTATTTGCATAATATGCTGTCTCTGCTGCCCCCATATGCACGCCTATAAGATTGACCAATGTAAAATTTTTACAACTAAGCCTAGTCTATAACCGTATTTTATTTTTTTTTTTATATTAGCTCAGGTAAAATTTTTTATAAGTTAGTTCAGCTCAGTGAAATTTGTCTAAAAAAAAATTTTAAATAGTCTGGATTATATTTTTAAAATTGTTTAAATACTTTTTTGGTTTCTACATTAGTATTTTCAGTGTTTTTAGTTTTTAAATTATTTACACAAAGATCAATTTTTATACAAACAATATAAAAATGAAACAGAATTTTCAATATTTAATTTAATAAGCAATTTGTTTATCCTTTATTTTCAATCAATGTTTAGATATAGTTTTTTTAGGACTTGGTATTTAAGTACTATAGGTATTAATATAGAATAACTAATGAAAACCATAAATTTAGATCATTGTAGTTATATTAGATTACAATAATTAATAATTAGAGTAAGAATTAATATAAGTAACTGATATGCCACAAAAATATCAAAATATACTCTTATTAACATGATTATGTATTTGTTATAATAGAATAAATTAAAATATGTGTTTGAGAAAAAATATCTATATAAGTTATCAATGTGATAGTTGATATTATAATGAATAAAAATTAAATATTTTCATTAAAAAAAATAAAATAAAAAGAACTTTAAACAGATTATGTATATATAAAAAAATTGACCTGTATAATATATAAGAAAATTTAGTAATTCAATTCAATAATTTTAAAATAATAAAATATTCAGTTATCTTTAAAATTTCTAAAAATACTTATTTTTAATATCTAGTGAGTTAAACAGATTTTTATCTCGGTTAGCTTTATTTTAGACTTACTAGAAATATATGAATTTTAACTTTAAAATAATGTCTGATTGATTTATCAATCCACATAAAATATTTTTTTGATTATTTATACATCTAAAAAAATATACAATATTGATACAATATATTGTATTACTTTTAATCTACCATACAGTTTCAGTTAATCATTATGAGTAGAAAAACAATATGAATAGTAAAAATGAAATACTTGTAATATTATAAAATTTGTCATAAATGCTGATGATAATAAAAGTATAGTAATTAAGTATAATCAGTGTTTAGTTGTGAACAAAAACCATTAACTACCTGAGGTTATTCATATTATATGAGACAGATAACTACAGATAACTTTTTATAATTTCTTCTTTTAATTAAGTGCAGTAATGGTTATTACATGGGATACAATTGCAGTCAGATAATTTGACACATTATTTAAAAATTGCTCCAATTGTTTATTAAGAATTGATCTTTAAACTTTTTTTTTTTGTTCAGTAATAATTACTTATTACCAAATCTTTAACAACTGATACTAAACTTTTTATAAATGATGAGGGTTTTAATAATTAAATAAATATAAATTTCTATTTAAGTATTCTTTGTGCCAGAGTAATATTTGGCGTTGAATTATTTGATTTATGTAATTTTATTATTATTAATAGGTCGAGTTAAACATTAGTTTAGTCTAAAATGTTACTATGTCCTGCACAGTGTAGGATATACCAAATTTTTTTATTCTGACCATGTAAAAATATATTTGATACTTATATAGATATTATTATCACTCATGCATTGTTAATAAAAATAAACACTAATCTTATAAATTATATTGACAAATATTTTTTCTTTTAATTCAATAGCAAATTGAATTTATTACAATTAAATTTCTATATACTAAGATAAATATATAATATATAACTAAATAATCATGAATTTATTGGTTATATTTATTAAATAAAACTTTACAATATTAGAAATTGATTAAATTAAATTAAAAATATATTTAGTAGATGACCTAGATAGAAGTATATAAAATATATTCTGTATGGTATATTTATACATAAATATTTAATCTCGAAGCATTGGCAATTTTTCATGTAAAACACATGTAGATTTAGTATCAAAATTTACAATAGGCTCTTGGCATTGATTATCACTTTGAAGAACATTGCAAGCTCTGAATAAAATTTGCTTTGGATCTTTGAGGATATGTTTCTTACAATATTTACTTTTTGGTATCATTTTTCCTGTGCATTTTATACCCATTTCTACATATGTACAATGTGGGGGATGTGATTTTCCCTTATTGTTAAGTAATGAAGTTGCTCTTATTTTTCTATCCATTGCCGTTTTAAATACTACTGCTTCTTGTCCTATTGTCATTTTTTGATAGTGTTCCAATAGTTTTAGTTTACGAAATTTTGCATATTCTTCATCATTAGTCCATTTTGATTTATTTAGTTGTCCATATGATTCAGAATCACATTTTTTATTAATTAAGTATTCTCGACGTTTTACTCGATACTTAAATAACAAATATCTATTACAAAAAAAAAAAAAATTTGAGTTATTAACATAAATAAGTGTTACATATATATATATTACCTGTATTCTTGTGCGTATAACAATTGTAGCCGTATGAATTTATTCCTCACTCTACGCACAGCTTCTTTTTCAGATAGTTTTGGCATATTACACAAAGGATCTGACTTAGTCAAATCTATATCTTCAAGCAATGGAATTTGTTTGAATAAGTCCACCGTGACTGTTTTAGTTGGTTCTTCATCTTCCAAAGGTTTGGAATCATCCAAGTTTTGTTTGTATCTTTCTTTGAGTAGTTTTTTTGAGTCTATTTCATTGAACGGGTTTAAACTTTTGTATTTGGTAGCATAATGACCAAATTCTTTTTTTAAATCAATTTGTTTCTTTCCTTCCATTTCACTTATGGTACAACTATGCAAGTGTTATAATGAAATTATTTTTTAATGTTAAAATATAATTAAAATCATACTTTGTAAGTATAAAGTTATAAAATATATGTATCATTCACATACATCAGTGGAAGGTATCGTTTGTCGTCCCTCAACGCTAGTTAATGAAATTGAGCCAGAGAAAATGTTGTTGAATGTTGATCGTCAATCGTTATTTGTATTCTGTAATGTATATTATTAATGCTTGTAGTAATTTTTAGTTTATATTATGGTAGATTAATTAAGTATCTAACGATTTAACGTATTTTAAACTTTTACTATTTTGAGTACAAAATTATGAACTACAAATTATGATTAATGATTAATAAATAATAATTTGATTACCGAATACTGATTACTTTCGTGTTTAGTTTATTATTTTGCTTACAAGACGCACGCATATAACCTCAATAATGCGTTGTGGTAAGTACCAAGTAGCCTGGTATCCATGGTATAATGGGGTGGTTAGCTCTTGGTTTGTCATCGATCACGCATGCGCACATTCTTATGATTTAACAGCTGTTGAATCAATCTTGTTTTTCCATTGTCTTTTCATGACGTTGGTCTGTTTTGGGCCGTGGAGTATTGTATTTTGCGATTTCCGTGGACGCGAGTTTCGTAGTTTCGTTTATCTTCAGTTAAGCGTTGAATCGAAATATGGTATTATGATAGCTCTCGTTAGTCGAATTTGGATAAAGTGTTCAATGAGAAACCATGAACACTGGTCGTTTTAACAAATCTTTGTACACAAAAATTCCCAATACTATTCGCTTCCGGTTTTATGGTGAGTGCCTATGGAAGGGATAGGTGTTGGGTTTATAACGTCGATCATAGTAATTTAGGGTATCTACTTACGATTAACATGTAATGAGTGTTGATCGTCTATTAATTATTTTGTTTTGATAATATATTTCATGCCATCGATTTTTGTTGTCATTTTAAAGTTTTTAATTCTGGGATTACAGTGATTTTCTTTAAAGTTGCCATATTAAAAAAATTATTTTATTGATTATTATTGTTACAGGGAATTGTGATTTAATTGTGGCATGATTAAATTGCTTGGAGGTGACGTCTATGGCCGAACAAGCTAGTTCCGCGTTGGTTAACGCGTCTTCTATTAGTACCAGGTAGAAAATAAAGTTGTGTTTTCTTACTGCAATTTTTTTTTTTTATACTTGTGATTATTTAATTAAGTAATAAATTTTAATTATAACTATAGGAGGGGAAATATAGAAGGAAACACTAGATCTAGAGTTAGTTCTCGTAAGGATAATAAAAAAAGCACAAATAATCAGGTGGATGTGGCTACTTTAAATTCAGATAATACTGAAACACAGTGAGTTTAAATTTTTTGTTTGATATTAATTATTGAAAAATTTTATAAGTCTAAACTATTCCAGAATTGTGAATGATTCAACTACTTCTATTCAAAATATTCGTAAAAGTAAATCGAATATTAGGAATACTCGCACCAGTAGTTCGAATACATTGATAGTAAGTCATTAATCTTGTTTAATATAATATTAAATAGGTAATGTATAAAACTTGTATAAATATCTTTAAATATTTTAACTTTAAACTTTTAAAATCTAAATAATTATGTACTATATGCAACTTTGTATGATAACACTTTCAAGTAGTTCATTTAATTATTTATAACAAAATACATTTTAATTTTTTTTAGCATAAAGAATCGCCAGGTACCAGTAGAAAATCAACAATATCGAAATCGCCTAAAAATAGTAAGTATATTAATTTGAAAATTTATATTTAAAGAAGAGAAAAAGTATAACGTGTATATGTATCTTTAATATATAAATAAATTGTAATTATTTTTTATTCAATGATAAGTTAATCATTGCCTATAAATTTAGTATTTATCTTATAGTGACCTAATAAGAGGTACTTTGGGTATCTACTTGTACGATTAAATGACATATTTGATGTTTTGTAATTGCTTCTTAAATAAATTAGCCAAAGTATTTTTAGTTTAAATTTTTAAGAATATTAATTAAGTACAGAATAAATTGTACATTATTATATAAATATTTTTATGGATGTATAAAATGGTTTGTGCACTAAGAAATGCCCCTAAATACTTAGGCTGGATAACTTTTGGTGAAAAAGAGAACTGAAATATATGCTTTGTAAAAACATCAATTATTTATTTATTTTAGTAACATTATACAACTTTCTTTCTTTTTTTTAAGTAAGGTGATACATTTTTCTGTATTTAAAAATTCAGATAGACTATTTTTTTTTCTCAAAAAATGTTAATGTTGGTTCAAATTTTTGATAAATTATAATTATTATTTATAACTTAAGTATTATTCAATAATATCTGTGATTATTTTTTGACTTGACTTTGAAATTTTAAACAAAATTTGTTATCCAAATTGTAAAGAAAAATTAGTGTTTCTATTAGAAAAAAAAATAATGCGTTTGTATTGAAAGTATTAAACTAGCTGCAATATTTAATGTTACCTCTTAGTGTAAACACTGTAATTTTTGTATAAAACCTAATTTATTAATTATTTATTTTATAGGAAAACAAAAAGTAGATAACTCGACTTTCAGCCCTGCTGAAAATAGATATCCATTGCGTAGTAAATCAAAAGGGCCTTCGCGCTCTGAGGAAAACAATTTAACAAACGAACTTTCTATCCAAGAAGTAGAACCTTCTCCAAATAAACGTCCAAAATTAGAACTCCCTACGCTGGGTATAATTTATTTAATTTTTGTATTTTTTTAAAATTTAAATATTACAACTTATTTAATTATAGGTACGTGTTCAAGTCAAAACAAGAATAAAGAAGAAACTAATTTACGCGCGTCTTTACCGCTGCGTAGGAAACGAGGAAGACCAACAACGGGGTCTTGTGCTAGTAGCAGGTATTAATATTGAAAAAAAATATACATTTAAAACTTATTTTAATTATCATAATATTTTTTTCACTATTATTAATTGTGAAGTCGCCGCGGTAATACCAAAGCGAGTGGAAGAGAGGCGGCTGAATTGGCTATGGAAGGCGTGGTTGAAGGGGATGGAATGGCTGAAGGCAATGACAACATGAATAATATCCTACCTTCTACATCTAGTTCAATTAGCACTAATGCCCCTGATATGGCTACGTCATCATCTACCACCACTTCCAATACTAATCCTTCTTCATCGGGCTCACAAGCTACTACTGGAGGTGGTGTGAACTGTAATTTTTTCTATTATATTTATTTTGAACCTTTATTTGGGAACCATAAAAGCTTACTTGAAAAATATTTAAGGGCCTACAGCATGGAGTAGTGGTACTACTAGTCACGATAGTGAAGAGGAAGGCGAAGTTGGACGTTTACAAGCATTATTAGAATCTAGAGGATTACCACCTCATTTATTCGGTGCATTAGCCCCTCGTATGCACCATTTGTTCAATCGTTCAATGGGTGCTGCGTCTACAAGTATAATTTTTATTTAGAAAAATATAATTTTAGTGCTATTGTTTACTACATCTTTTTTTTATTTGTAATATTATATTATATTTTTTTTGTAGCTTCAAAAGCTCAACAATTATTACAAGGAATGCAAGCTACAGGGGATGAAGGACAGCAACTTCAAGCCGTTATTGAAATGTGTCAAATGTTAGTTATGGGTAATGAAGATACTTTAACTGGGTTTCCTGTGAAACCTGTTGTCACTGCACTAATTATTTTACTTTCGATGGAACATAATTTTGACATGGTATGTTGTTCAAATCAAAAACTTAACTTTTATAATTAATTAAATATTTTTTAAATTATTAGTATTATAAAATTATTTAATTTAAAACATTATTAATTATTGTTTAAATACTTTGATCAATGTGAAATAGAATTTCTAAAGTTTTAAGGGTATTAATATAAAAAAAATTATATTCTAATGGTGCCATTTTATTAATCTTATAATAAATCACCCATATATTTTTATTTAATTATAAAATTATATTTTTAGATGAATCATGCTTGTCGTGCATTGACGTATATGATGGAAGCACTTCCGCGTTCATCAGCTGCTGTTCTTGATGCTGTTCCAGCTATGTTAGATAAACTGCAAGCTATCCAGTGTATGGATGTTGCTGAACAATCCCTTTCTGCTTTAGAAATGCTTTCTAGAAGACATGGTCGTTCTATATTACAATCTGTAAGTATTTTTGCAAGTATTATGTTAGGATCATAAACATACTTTTGTACTGGATATTTGTGTTTACTGTCAATCAACTAATTAATTTTATTATGCCAATATTTATTTTCAAATACATAACTATCATGATCATTTTACAGAAACTTATAATAGTTAAATTAAAATATTGAACATTTATTTGTTTTTAGAATGGTGTGGCTGCATGTTTAACTTTTATAGATTTCTTTAGTATTAATGCGCAAAGAGCTGCTCTAGCTATCACTGCAAATTGTTGTCAAAATATGAATGCTGATGAATTTCACTATGTTTCCAAGTCATTGCCATTACTATCAAGTCGTACAACTCAACAGGTAAACACAATATTAAAATTAAATCATTAATATGTTCCTTATATTAATTATTAACTATATAGTGATGGGCTAATAAACTCTGTATTAAAAAAAAAATCAAATGAAATTTCTTAACATCTGAAAATGTTAAGAAATTCAAACTTAAAATTATTAATTAAACTAGGCTTGCCAATTACAATAGTTTGAAATTAAAATTTTTTTGGAATAAACATCTTTTCAGAAATTATTTTTATTTTTACTGATGTACTTAGTGTATTTTGAAAAACCATTTTAACTAAAACCATAATTTTCTTCTGTTGTGATTATTTTGTTGGTAAAAAAATTTGTACATTTTTCCATTGATTTTTAATACTCTATTCATTATTCAAAAGCAATGATATGTATTGTATGGTAATTTTTTATAAATTAATGTCAAAAACACTTAAAATTGAAATTAAGCATTCGATTAAATTCAAATGATCTACAATGTTAAATTTGTTTACATTATACCATTGTTTTTTTTTATTTATTATTATTATTATTATTATTATTATTTGATTAAATTTTAGTTTATGGCTATGACTGTTCTACAATTTTTTTTTAGTAATACATATTTAATTATTTTTGTGATTACCACTTCAGATTTAATGTTGAGCAAAGCAAAGAGGTTGGAGAGATGTTAAGAAATTTCTCATTATTGATTATAATTATATGCTTTGTGTGTAAAGAAAAACAGATAAGTAGCAATAGAGAAAGGTATTATAGGTTTTTAAGTGTAGTGTGTATAGAGGAGAGTCAATAAAACTAAGTTTTAGACATGATCGAATAAAAGTAAATGACTCGCATAGAGTTAGTTAAAATAAACAATACTAGATTTTTGTAAATCTAAGTTGATGAACTAGGTTTTTTTATTAGGAATGATGGGAACAAT